TTACTGTATGGTACACACCATAGGTAACTGGTGAAAGGAAAAAGAAACAAAAAATTGTCCCGAAAAATATCTAACGGAAACTTTTTCATAATATGAAAAATGTAGAATGATCATTGATCATTCATTGCCATTCATATTAATAGCCATTAATTAATGTATTATTAATATGTGTGTGTGTGTGTGTGGTGTGTGTGTGTGTACACCTTATACACGTCTGATTATGTTGATGATGATGATGATGATGATGAAAAATTCGTCAACAAGCACAGAATTATTCATCATCATCATCATCATCAACACAAACACAGAATCTGTTGGATTCATATGTCGTCACACAAACACACTATGAAGAAAAAAAAAATTCTGTAAACATAAAAAATGACCAGACAACAACAATAATTAGTAATCTTTTGTGGATTCATTTGAAGCAACGACAACAATAACAATAAACATTGTCAAATTGAAATGAATTTTCAAAATTCTGGAATCAAATTCTTGGTGTTGATATTTACATAGCATATTTTTTTCTGTATCATCATCATCATCATAATCATCCAATGATGACAATATGATGACAATTTTTTAATGTAAAAGTTTGTTTGTTCGTATTTCGTTAACTTTAAGCATTTTTTTTTCTTTACCATCAATTTTGTTTTTCCATATTTAGAAAGACTAGAGATTATTATTATCAATTTAGTTATTTTTTGGTTGTAGTTATTTCTCATGAATCATCAATATGTTTTACCTATTTTCTTTCTGTTTTCTGATTAAAGGTGGAAATCCATTAATTCTATAATCGAAATCCAAATGTCAACAACAACCGAAACAACAATTTTATGCACAAATGAATTTGATGGACCACTGTTGTTCTTGTTGTTGTTTGCTATTATTTTTCGATTCATATTCAAACCGGAGAAGAAAAAGAAAGAGAGGATGATGATCATTGATAAATAGTAAATCTAAATAATAATAACAACAACAACAGCAACAATAATCATCATTAAAATGACCATAATAATAACATGGGATTTTTTTTTTTTTGGATTGACTGTTAACAAAACCAACAAAATCAAACAACATTGGACCAAACCAAACAAACCACATTCAATGATTCTTGTTGTTATGTTGTTTGGGACTTTAATTTGTCAAAAAAACTATTCCCATTGAATATCACTGTATCATTCGTCGAATAAAGCTAAAAATAATAAATAAAAAAAATAAAAAAGATTAACCCGGCTCTATGTTTGTATACATACACACATACACTGACAACAATTATAATAACACTCTTGTCTTTTTTCTCTGTCTCTTTCTGTGTATGTGTACAAGTGAGGACAATGATAATTAAAATGATTTATTAATGGCGCATCCAGATTCTTTTTTCTTTTTTTTGTTAATATTCTCATTCTACGAACGACACAGTTGTTTTTCAAGTTTTTTCTTTTCACTGTATAATAGATTTTGGTTTTGTATTGAATTTGAATATGCTTTTTTTTCTGGGTCTCTTTTTTTTCCTTTCAATCATCAATTTGAACCAACCATTTTGAATCATATGGCTGGTAAACGAACGAAACGAACGAAAAAAATAAGGTGAAAAAATGTAGCAAACAAAAACATAAAATCATTGAGAAATGATTGGTGGCGGTGGCTCCACAAACACACATCCAAACAGATCGATTCCCCTTGATCGCATGTATATAATGTTATGTCATTTTTCTTTTTTTCGTTTTCGTTTTTTTCTTCTCACCAAAAAAAAAAACTTGATGGTAACGAGATGTGCGAAAAAACAAAAAGTATAACGACAAAGATCAACCAACAAGAAAATGATGATGATTATTATTATATCGATATGTACATGTTATGTAACGTGTGTGTGTGTGTGTGTTAGTCAATGTAATCGATCGATCGATCCAAATATTTTTTTGGTTATTTCTTGGTTGGGTTATATAATAATAATAATAATATCAATGTGTAGAAAGAAAGTGAAAGTGAAAGTGAAAAAAAACCATGTGTCAAATGCACATGGTGATCGTCATTCATTCATTCATTCATTCATTCATTAGATTCGATACAAAATGGCCATACAGTTTTTATTTTTGCTCTGTTCTCACTTTTTCTCACGATTATAATTTTGATTTTTTTTTCATTTGACTTTTGAAAAGAATTTGTTATAATAATTGTTGTTGGTTTTGGTCAATCTGGTTTTGTGGCTAAATTTTCTTTCAATCAAGCCTTTTCCTCTCTTGCTCATTCATTCATTCAAACAAACAAGAAAAACTTTAGCAATAAATATTCAAAGGATTATTTGTCGATTTGGATTGTGGAAACAAAACTTTTTCTTTCCTACAAATTAAAGTAGGGGGAAAAAACAATAACGGAAAAAACTTTTAAAAATGAATATGTTCATTGGGTGATTTTTGCCATTATCTTTTCAAATAATGATTATGATCATCATCATTTAATGAAAAAATTTTCCAATAACATCAATATGAAATTTAGAATATTTTTTTTCTTTTGGAAAAATCCCTTCATATTGAAAAGATTTTTTTTATCATTTTGTTTGCCGATATTGAATTTTTTAGGTGTATGTGCGTAGGTGGTGGCAGTGTTTAAGTTTCAGATTTCATATCCAGAAACAAGAAATTTTTCAATATAATCTAAACCCGGTTCAGGGAATAAATGTCATTAATCATTCAAATGAACAATTTTACGTGTGTTGACATTTTTGGTTGTTTTTTTTTCAATGTTGTTGCTCCGTTTACAATTATCATCATCATCATTATTCAATGAAAACCGAATCAATTTTGGTTTTCAAGAAAAAATTTTTCCTCTTTTTTTCATTTTATTATGGAATGTGCGCATATATCATTTGTTGATTGAATTCATTGCGTATACGCGCCATTGATCGATGAAATTATTTGAATTTTTTTTGCCAATCCGTTACTTTTATGGCCATCTAGTGAATGAAATAGGAAAATGAAAATATTCTTGTTTTTAAAAAATTTTCAAGATTAATCCATTGTAATCGATAATAGATGGCAGCTGGTGTTATGATTTTTTTTGTTTGAAAATCAAAAAACCAGAATCATCATTAAATTCTATCAGTTGATTCTGTTGGTTAATTGATTTATTCAATTTCGTACATTTGTTACCATATTCACCACATTCGGTAATATGAATAATTTCAGAATTTAAATTGATATTTTTTATTCTTAAAGCAATCCTTTTGTTCCTGGATAGAGGATAAGGTTTTTTAATTGAAAACACACCAACGGAAAAAACGAAATTGCCTTAAGCCACAATGTCAAATTGATGTTGTGATGTGTGTGTGTGTGTGGGTGTCTAACGGATTCAATCTGTACCAGATGCATTCATGCACCCATTATCTAATTGAATCATTCATTCATTCATACATCACATACATTTTGATAACAAACAAAATGAAAATGAAAATAAAAATCCTTTCACACAAATAATGAAAAGTAAGTCTTATTTTTGATTTGGATTCTTTTCTTTCCGATTACAATAACCAACAATTGCAAATTGCCTAGGTTTTTTTCTTTCATTCTATCAACTTTAATAGTTTTTTCTGTTGTTGTTGTTGTTGTTGTTGTTCGGTGTGAATTTTGTTTTTGTTTTTCTGTTTCCTGAACACTTTTTTTCTTTTGGTTTTCTACCGGTTATATATGAAAAACTGACCGATAAAATTGATGAAGAAAGAAGAAATTCATCATTACCAATCGAAATCAATGAATAAATAATTAATAATTTTTTCTTATTCGATAAATCAAAACCAAACGAAATAAAAGATGATGAAAGAGGTATATGATTTGTTTTGATCAATATTTGGATACTGCATTTCTTTGATTTATCCAAGAAACAGAAAACAAAAACAGGCAAAATAGAAATTCATTTTCATATTAATTATTGATTCTAATGGGTCTATGATGATTAAGATCAAGTAAAATTGATGTTTCTGATGATGATGATGATGATCGGTTTCCGTATCCGATCAACCGAAATTCTCAGTAAATTTGACGTTATTTATAGCATTTTGTTTTTAAATTCTTAATTGAAGATTCTTGAAAATCAAAAAAAAAATCAGTAAATATCGAATCCTGTCATCTCTTTGGTTGACCAGAAAAATAAACAACCAAACCTCAAAGGCCATTTTGCAAAAAAAAGATTTATTGGAACTGGATTCAAGCTTAAAATAAAAAACAAGTTTTACAAAAAAAAAAAATCCATATAACGTTTGCTGGCTTTTAGATTTGTTTGTTCGTTGTTGTTGTTGTTTTTTTTTCATTTTGCCCATCCATATATCAGTATGGTTGTATATGGTGATCATCATCATCATCATCATAATTACATATGCGCGGCTTGTCGCCAACAATTTCTATCATCAAAATTTTCCGACCCCCTATTCCTTCATTTTTTTCCCCCATCCGTACACCAACACAAACACACTACAGACACGCTAAGAATGCATAGATCACTTCATGAATTCGGCAGCATGATCATTCGAATTTTACGCGCGTGAATCAACGTTTCGTTTGCGATTTTCAGTTTGTTCAGTTTTTTTTCTTTACTGACCAAATTCTTCAAGTGCTGGTGTTTGCAATTTTTTATTTCTTAGTTTGCCTTTTGGTTTTTCTTTGATCTTTGGCTATTATTTTAGAAAAAAAATCAAAAGTTAACTGTAAAACAACAAACAAACATCTTATGCACGCAATATCCATTTGAAAAAAAAGACAAAATTATTGTGCCTACAACAGCAGAATAAAAGATTTCTGATCGTTTATCGTGATTATCATTATTATCCATAAATTTTTTTGTTGTTTTCGATAATCCTTCTCGGATGAAATAAATTTCCAAATCCTGATTTTCATTTATTGTCATTTTATTTGTTCAACGTTTTCTTGTTTCAACATAGTTTTTGATTTTTCTTTTTTCTTGTAAAAAAACATTGTTAAATTTTTTTAATTTTTTCCCAAAACAAAATGCTCTCAAATCATTTACCATCATGGATCATCATCATCACAATATTCCTTAATATTCGTTCATCATCATCATCATCATCATTATTGATTGGTAAGTTAATGATAACAAACAATCAACTATGAAACAGGTCAACGATTAGAATGAATCATTTTTGGTATTTTTTTTATATAAATGCTTTTTGCAAGGCAGAAAAAAAACTAACTTTATATGCAAATCACAAATCAGCATAACCTGTAGTTTTTTTACCGTTATTGTTTGTTGCAGGTAAAAAAACTAGAAAAAAAAGATAGATACCTTTAATTAATTGTCCATAATTGGTACTGTGAACAAATTTAAATTTCTTGATTGCACTTGGAATAATAATAATTTTTTCGGTGTGTGTATAAGTGTAAGTATGTGTCCAGAATCAAATGGACACCTTTTTTTTGACTAACTGTGTGTGTGTGCGTTACATAATTCATACGAACCTGTTTAACCATTGATGATGATGATGATTCAGGATTTTTTTTTTGCAGAATTGTATTATAGTAAAAAGTTTGACCAGAAAATAAAAAAGGTAGAATATTTACCACCCGACGATTATAATCAATTATCTGAATCGAAATTCTTGTTGTTTGTTCGGAATAACAGAGAAAAAGAACAAAAAATTCCAAACTTTGTCCTTTAATTTCCGAAAAAAAAACAAAATGATAATAACAGGCTTTCGGTGGGAGAAAACAAAAAAAAATGTTAATTTTTTTTCCTAGTTAATCGATTCCATTTTGGTTGTTTTTTTTGTGAATAATTTTCTATAATCGAAAATCCGAAATTTGTAGAAAACATCAAACCACCACCAGCAGAAGCAGCAACTAATCCCGATGAGATAATCCTAAATTCTACACGTACACATTATCAAATAATCGATTCGGATTTGGCTAAAAATGATCCAATCAGTCGTATTGAAATTATATTCGATACACCAGTATTTCAATATGAAAATTTAATACTTGAATGTCGTTATCGATTGAATGTGGATAAAAAATTATATTCCATCAAATGGTATGTTTGTAAAAACAAAAATAAAAACTTAATTTTTCAAGTCACAAACATCGAATATTGGCAAACAAAAAGTAATGATCATTTTCTTTATTTTTTTTAACACATTCCCTTAGGTATAAAGATGATGATGAATTTTTTCAATACATGCCCAATGATTATCCCAAAGGTACTTGTTCTATAATATGTGACACTGTTATTACAGAATTTGTAAATAATTCAATTCTCTCTCTTTCTAATTCTAATTCTGTTCTGATGATTTTCTGTTTCAAAGTTCAACATTATAATAATAAAATCATAACGACAATGCCCGAATATGAAATTGGTTACAATTCATTTCGTTTATTATTACAAAATATTAATATAGAATATCAGGGAATCTATTCGTAAGTGTTTGTATTTTGTTTTTTTGTTTTTTTTTGTTTTTTGTCAGTAAACTTATTGTTCGCTCTTTTGAATAATTGATTTTTATTTCAAATTTTTTTTTTCATTTCACTACTTTCTTTTCTGCCTTAAAGATGTGAATTGTCGACCGATGCTCCAGGTTTGTGTTTCAAAAGAAAAGAAAACATAGTAATCATTTTGACAACATGATTTATTTTTATCTTCTTTTTTTGATGTTGTTGTTGTTGTTTGAATAGAATTTATGACATTTAAAGATTATAAACTACTAGAGGTCAGTGTCTCTTGATGATCATTCATTCATTCATTCATTCATTCATTGCTTTTTAATTATTTATTTTGTTTTTATCTTCTTTCTTAGGTTTATGGTAAGATTCGTTGATTTTTTATTTTTCATATTTTTTGGGAAAACTGAATAATTAAAAAAAAATGTTTTCATCTAGTTTTGCCGAATAAAAGTCCACGAATCAGTGGTAATAAATTGAATTTTTTGCTCAAATCACGTATCGATCTGAATTGTACATCACCGAAAAGTAAACCAGGTTAGTTGATAATGATGATTTTGCTAACAATGATGATGATGATGATTGAATTTTAAAGTGTCCATCATACAATGGTTTATCAACGATCAATTGGTTAGTATTTTATTCTAGCAAAAATCCTAATCCTAATAATCTTCATCAATAAATTAATTGTTAAGGCTCCAAACGACTATCTTATCATTTATAATACGGTCAATCATACGGATGGTTTACAAACACGTACGGTAAGACTTAAATTCATTGGTAAGTTTATAAAATTTGAATAAAATTATCTGAAAAATTCAAATCCTAAAATCATTTTAAAAGTAAATGAAGAACATTATCAATTAGGTCATATGAAATTGGAATGTGTTGGTAAGTTTTGTAAAACTTTTTATTAAAATTGTAACGAGAGAACAAAACAAAAACAAATTCTTACACCTAAACAGCAATCTATAGGAAATTAATAATTGGAGAGAATGGTACAATAGTAAGAATCGAATCATCAAGTGTACATCATCAAGAATCGTTAACACCGAATGGACAACGACGAAAACCGGTAATTTGGACACGAAGACCTAATCGATTTAATACAACAACATTATCACCAATATTGCCAACACAATCATCATCATCAACAACATCATCATCTTTACTAGCGTTATCATTATGGTATATGGTTTATATGGCAACCATTTCGATTATTATCAATAGCAACAATTATTATTATGGCTAATTTTTTTGGTCGCCAACAACGACAACCAAGATTGAGCATCTCTCTCTTTCTCACTCTATCAACAAAATATGCAACAATCAAATGGATTTTTAGTTGATTATTAAAACTATTAATCAGGTAACCAACCAATCAATTTGATACTCAATGTTTTTTTTTATATGATAATGTATGATAATTATGAAAAGAAAACAAGAAACAAAGTTTTATTATTTGCTGTTCCAATACGATTTCATTCATTCTTATGGGTGTGTGATTATCTTTTATTATTATCTTTGGATTGTTTATTGCGTTTGCATTGCTTGTGTATGTGTGCAAAAAATTTGTTAATTTTCTGGATTCACAACAAAAATTTTCTCAGAAATTAACCATTTTTTTTGTTTTTCAATTCAAAAATAATCATGTTGTTCAATCGTTTGATTATATTATTTTTATTATTCGTATTGGCAATTATTGTTGATGGTAATAATGATAAACAGAATCCAACCACAATCAAACAATCTACTACGACCACTACTAATAACAACAATAGTTCGGATGTTTGTAGTCAATTATGTTCATGTATAGATTATGATACGGGTGTTAATGGTCATCCGAATAAATTTGTTGATTGTTCACATCGTCGTTTAACAAAAGTACCAATAGCCAAAACAATACCAGTGAATATACAACATTTAGATTTATCGATGAATAATTTGACCGTTGTAGAAAAATTTGAAAAATTTGAAAAACTTAATCGATTATCATTGGCCATCAATGGTTTACATCAAATTGATAATTTTGCTTTCGAACAATTACCTAAACTTGAAAATCTTGATCTTAGTTATAATGAACTAGCAGAAATACCTGCAACATTATTTGAAGGACTTGATGAATTACAATCGTTAAATTTGTCGAATAATCTTCTTAAATATTTACCAAAAGAATTATTCAAATCGAATGGTTATCTACATGAATTGAATCTGGCTCATAATCGAATCAATTTTATACAACCAGATTTATTTTCCCCACTAAGTGAATTGCAAATATTAAGTCTAGCAAATAATCATTTTTATTCAATTGCTTCCGGTTTGTTTCATCGATTAGAAAAGCTAGAAATTCTTGATCTTTCAGGAAACAATCTACATTCTGTTCCAACTAATGCATTATATTTGTTAAAACGATTACAATTTATCGATTTAAGTGAAAATCCAATTCATACATTGAATGCAGCATCATTCAATCAACTAACATCATTACGAGAAATAACGTTGAATAAAATGCCCGATTTAGTTCGTATTGAAAAACGAACATTTTCAACATTGAAAAATCTTGAACGTTTAAACATTGAAGATAATCCACATTTGTCGACTATCGATGAAAATGCTTTTATGGGAATGTTTAATCGTCAATCGATTACGATCAAATATGTTAGTCTAAGACGTAATGTGTTAAGTCGACTTTCAGAAAAGACACTACCATTTTGTATGTTTTTCTTTTCTTATTTTGAATTCAATGTTTTATCTATTGACAATTTTTACTAATTCCTTCCACACAGGTAACCTAACACAATTGGATTTACGTCAGAATCCTTGGAATTGTGATTGTAATATTCGATGGATGCACTATTGTCATGGATCGACCGAATTTGAAAAAGATATCAAGTATTTAGCCAGAATTTTTTTTTTCCAACATTTCATCAATATTCTGATATGATTTTGTTTTTTTGTTCGTTTGAATATAGATGTTCACATCCGGAACCATATTCAGGACAAGAATTAGTAGCGATTGAACCGAAAAATTTTCGCTGTAAAAATAATCAATATAATGAAACACGTTATCTATTCTTTTTGTCATTATTCTTTATGACTGGCCTGTTCATATCGATCATTATGTTGATATTTCGTGAGAAAATAATTCAATTATATGGAAAACGTCATCGTACTAATGAAGGATCGATCTATTATGTTCGTGCACAATCTGAACAATTAGAATAATACTACTGTGTTATCTATCTTTTTTTTTCTTTTTTTCTTTTCGATAAATTCTTTATCCATATCCTTTATCCGTTGAAATTATTAATAAAAATTTGATAATTATGATAAATGAATTTCAAAAAACAAAACAAAAAATCAATTTCTGTCCATTCATATAGGACGAATGAACACATATGTGAATTAAATGCACGCGTTTCACAGTTGACTGATTTTTTCATTTGATTATTCAATTTGTTTAAATCAAAAAAATCATCATGATGTTGATGTCTCATGATTTGATCGACATTTTCGGTGAATTAAATTATCCATCAATTAAAGATATTGATCTGGATAACTTATCATTGATTGATTTTTCTCGTTTATTGAATTGGATTTCATTACAATTGAATTGTTTTGCCAAAACTGATTCAATTGTCAATCTGATTAAAGGTTTGTTTCATATGATTTTTTTGTTTTCATCTTTATTGATTATTGATTTCAAATTCTTTGCAGATGAATCAGAACTTGATTCACTTAGAATCGAATTGAATTCATTGTTCGGTGAACTTGGTTCGATTCATTCTAACACCAGTATCGATAATGTTGTAAATCGTCATATGATTCTTTATAGTTTAGCCGGTGATTTATTAGCTGCTCGTGTGAATTATGTAAAAAAATTTGATGAAAATCTTAATGTTTTTACCGATAAACTAAATCCAAAGAATGATATACAAGTGATAAATAATTGTCTATCAATACCGAAATCATCAAATCAATTGAAAAATATTAAAACTTATTTTCAAACCGTAAGACAACGGCTAGATAAAAGCCCATTAAAATATCAGGATGAAGATAGTCTGCTGTTACCGAATGGTGGTCGTCTAACAACGGCTCAATGGACCGAATTGAAAAATCTGAATGAACAATTGGCCAATGAATATGCATTACGTCGGGAGATGTTATTACGTCGTGCCGATATGACTATTGGATCATTTTCTTGGAACCGTGAGAAAACCGACGATACCGATGAAAAAATCATCACTCAAATTTATCAGGAAAAACGTAAAGGCTGGTCATCAAAACCTCAAGTAACTCTATCACATTCATTAGCTGCCCGAAATTCTGATTGTGATTCATTGATCAACAAACGGATCAGTGTTAGTCATGCTAGTTGTATTATTGAAGCAAAACAGATTGGAAAAGCAAATATCGGTCTACAACAGCGGCTTCAATTGCATAAATTCTTAATTGGTGCCGTACCCGATCGCGGTGGTCGTCCGTATGAGCAGCCACCTCCACCCAAAGAAACTTTTTCACATCAACAGTCACAACGAGATAATCGAGGTGGACGTGGTGGTGCTCATCGTGGTGGCCGAAGCCCAAATCGTAGAAGCCGAAGCCCGAATCGAAGATATCAACAAAACTATAATAATTCCAATCGTTATAATGATAATTATGGTGGTGGTCGAATACAGAATGCTGGATGGCAGCAACAACATCAAGGTGGTGGATATTATCAGGATGATGATCAACGTGGTGGTGGTAGCTATCATCCTCGTGGTGGAAGAGGTGGCTATTATCGAGGTGGGGGTGGATATCATCGCGGAAGAGGTGGTGGTCGATATTAATCCAATTTAGTTTGGTATTTTTATTCGAATTTGAAGAATAAAAACAATTTAAAATCATCTTTGCAAACAAACGCCATCTGGTTGATCCATTTGAATTTGAACCCAAAATATTGTTTTTTCCTTTATCATCAACTCAATAATAAAAAAATTCAAACAACATTCTTTCCAATGCTTTGAGTTTGCGTCTTTGTTGAATGTGTCTCCGTGATTTTTTTCTGTGTGTGTTTGTGTTCTGTGAATACATGCATGCTGCCAAGATGATAATGGATGGATATTAGCGAGACAACCTTGTTTATTATTTAGTGGTGTTTGCCTTTTTTTTTGGGTTCGTTTGTTAGCTTGTTGTTGTTTTTTTTCCATTTTGGAATTATCTTCTGGAAAGTGTGTGTTTGGAAAAAAAACAACAAATATCAAAGATTTTCAATATCTAAATGAAAGTTTTAGTTATCTTTTAATTTTTAAATGCGACCAAAGTATTGATATTGAAAATATCATTTAATCAAGGCAGTTGTGAATCAAATGAAAGTGAATGGAAATAAATAAAACATTAAAATAATGACCTATTTTCAATATATGCAAACATTCAATTATGGTTGGGAACAAGTAGCCATCGCGTTTTGGAACCGGTATCCAAATCCTTATAGGTAATTATTAAAATAATTTATTTGAAAGTGAAAGTGATTTTCAATATTTATTTTATAGTAAACATGTGCTCACTGAAGATGTCATACATCGTCGTGTTAATCGTGATGGTCGTCTTTTTACTAAACGTTTGTTAATGAAAACAAATTCCGCACCCAAATGGACCGAACGTTTTTTACCCGCAAATCATGTGTTCATTATTGAAGAATCGATTGTCGATTCAAAAGCAAAAACATTGACCACATATACTCGTAATATTGGCCTACAACATTTGTTAACATTAGAGGAAAAAGTTGTATATAAAATTGATCATGAACATCAACAACAAACTATTTGTGAACGACAAGCATGGATTCAATCAGCATTCTATGGTCTTTCATCAGCTATCCAACGGCTTGGTCTTGAACGTTATAAACAGAATATTAAAAAAGCCTACAAAGGATTCAATCTAACATTGGAAACAATATTTGATTCGGTCAATCGTAATAAAACGATTGTTGACATTGGCAATTCACAATTACCTATTCCTTCATTCAATCCAATATTCAAAGAACGATTACGACAAAGTGCTACAAAAGCCAGTCAATTTGCCAAATCAAATATACCGACAGTTATTGCTGCCGCTGGTTCTGATGATCAGGATTGATTTCTTTCTTTCTTTTTTTTTACTTTATTCATTTGTTACCGATTTATTTCTTTTTTTTTCTTTGATATTTTTATCAATCATTTTACAATTAAACAACTATTACAATAAAGTGTTTTGGTTTAATGATCTAATTTTGTTTTTCGAAATATTCCCGAGCATTTTTCGGATTAATAGTTGGTCGATCAGGTTGCCAATTGGCTGGACAAACTTCACCATGTTTATCAGTATATTGAAAGGCTTTAATTAATCGCAATGTTTCATCCACTGATCGACCGACCGGTAAATCATTGATCGTAATCTGTCGTACGATTCCTTTTCCGTCAATAATGAATAGACCACGTAATGCAATACCAGCATCAGGCAATAATACACCATAATCTTCGGAAATTTTTTTTGTCAAATCGGCGATGATCGGCATTTTCATATCACCTAAACCACCTTGTTTTCGTGGTGTATTACACCATGCTAGATGTGAAAAATGTGAATCAACCGATACGGCTACAACTTCGGTTTGAAGGTCACGAAATTCTTGTAATCGATCATTGAATGCAATGATTTCGGTTGGACATACAAATGTACTGAAATAATGTTTATTAGATTCAAATCGATCATTATCTAACTACTTACAAATCTAGAGGATAGAAAAATAGTACCAAATATTTGCCTTGGAAATCGGCCAATTTAACTTCTTTAAATTGTTTGTCAACAACGGCTGTAGCTTTGAAATCAGGTGCCGGTCGTTGTACAAATGCCGACATGAAACGTGTATTCATCAATGGATTGACATTGCGTATGGCCCATGGAATAGATGCTCGTGTGATAAATTTTCCAAGTAAAGATGCCATTTTTTGTTATGGTTTCAAGTTTGAAAAGCTACGATTGATTTTCGATAAATGATGAGTACTTTTGAAGATAATAATCAGCAAACTATAAACACTCGATGCGTTCTATATGAACGGGCCCTATTTATTCGTTGTTTTTTAATCATCAATCCAACCTCGTGGTCTTTCGATTTATTCTTTTACAAAAATCATCATGGAAGAAATCGAAGCATCAAATCTTGAAAAGACCATTCTATCCAGGTAATTATTGGTTGTTCAAAGTTTGTGGCTAATTTTTTCTCTATTCAACACCATAGCCCATTGGTCGCCATAATATTCTATGCAAAAAACGATGAACGATGTTCGCAAATTCTGGATTTCATTCCTGAACTTGCTGCTCAGGATGAATTCAAAAAATTCAAATTTTTTAAAGTAAGAATCAGAAACATACTTTCATTTTCTTGTATTCATTATTGTTCCATGATTAGGTTGATGCTGTTTCGGGAATATTTGCCGTTCGTTCTGTGCCAACAATAATTATGTTTCGTAATGGCAATGAAATTGATCGTGTAGTTGGTGTCGATACATCAGCTATAACACAAAAGCTTCGAAAAATTGTTGAATCGAATCGTTCAATCGAACAGCGATTAGTATCTTTGATTAATCAACAGCCAATTATGGTTTTCATTAAAGGAACTCCCGAACAACCAAGATGTGGATTCACCCGAACACTGCTCTCAATATTGAAAGAAATGAACGTACAATTCGGTTATTTTGACATTCTCAGCGATGAAGAAGTACGACAAAGTTTAAAATCCTATTCAAAATGGCCAACATATCCTCAATTATATGTAAAAGGTTCATTGATAGGTGGTTTGGACATTATACAAGATTTACGTGAAAATGGTGAATTGGAAAATGCATTGAAATGTTAAAACTAACAATTGTTTACTAATTACAAATAATAATAATAATAATCATAATAATCATAAATCTAATTAAAATGAAAACAATCTGTGTTTTTGTTGTTAAGTCAATTGGGTTAATGAACTGTCAACTGAGCATGTTGATGAATTCAAGCATGAAATTACCATTACCGTTTACAACGGATGGATATTCGTTTATGGATGAAAAAAATGAGACTAAACAAAGAAACAAAAAACCGGCTCAACATCCCGCAATATTTAGATTCTATTTTTACAACCATGTCACCTTATTGATTTATTGATCTCAATATAGAACAATGGTTATATCTCTCATTTGAATGTTTTCCCCTATATAACTAAATTTGTAACTAAAATCATCATATTTCATCTATTTTACCTGTTAGTGTTAATTGGTCACGACAATTGACGATGATTTAAATGTTCGGATCATACAATAGCCAAATAGAAAGTTGTTGTTGTTGTTGTTGTTTTTTTTTTGTAAGAGAAAAGAAAATAATGATATTTTCCTCTCAACTTTCTCATCCTTATCCTTGATGGTTATACTTTCCCATGATTTTAGCTATGAAAGATATATTGTTTTCAATTGATAGTTATACTTGAAAGTCGAAAGTTTGTTATATTTTTTTTTGGTAGATTGAATATTTTGGTTATTCTTCATAATCGATGGCAATAATGATTCTTCAGGAATCTATTAATCAAACTATCCGGTCGTTTCATTCGACAATATCACCAACAACATTGTTTTCCTCAACATCAAGTCCTGTTTCATCATCATCGACAATGATCGCTACAGAATTACATCATCCTCAAGGTCATCTAATTCTAAATGTCAATTCAGAAACAACTACTGGTCTAGTTTTGGATTTTTCCGAATGGGCTAATACATTCACATTGGGCTGTCTAATATTTCTGTTTTGTCTGATAGTGTTTATATTTTCGTTATTATTCATACTGTCCTTTCGTCGTACTGAAACCGACATCGAGTCGAAAAATGTTTCAACAACAACAGGAATGGGAAACACAACGAATACAACGATTGGTTTGGGAAATTCGAGAAAACGTCAACCAACATTTACCATAATGCCTGATGATAAAAATATTATGGAAAAATTTATTCGAACCGAAAGTCAAGATAATATCAGCAACAATGGGACCACACCTTGTGCCATAACATCATTAGAAGATGATCGGCGACAAGCTGATGAAGTGGAAAAAGAACGTGAAATAACTCTGTTCATTACAACAGCTAGATTTGCTCATTCTGAACATCATAATCGTTATTATCGTTCGACAAAATATGCAGATGAATCCATTAGAGAAGATATGTATACGGATCTGTCATCACCGGAAAAATATAAATCTATAGCGCGAGGATCGCTAATATTATCCCCAACACCAAATTATAAACGTTTTCGAACATTTAATGGTGGCAGAAATTTTCAATCATTGAACCTAACCACCATGACAACAAATCATCATTCGTCATTAAAAAGACCATTGAAAGAGCTAAAAAAATCATCAAATGAGTTACGTAAACATCAAGCAATGACTACCATTTATAATATCGATTTGAATGAACCTGAATCGATTGTTGGTAATAATGAAAAATATCACAATTCTTATTCCGAAGTAATTGAAGAATTAAAAAATCGTTTTGAAATATTATCTACGGCTGCATAAACAAAAAATTATTCATTATAATTGCAATCCTTATGTGATTTATCATTTCAAAATTTTTTGCTGTTTTTGTTGCTGTTTTGATATCTCTTGATTTTGTAAATAAAAAAATTTAGAAATTTGATTTGGTTGCTTCATATTTTTTTTTAATATTTCCGCCGATATTAGTCACTAATCATTTGATGATTTCAAAAAACGTGTAGTGTTTTCTTTCTTTTTTTTAGATCAGAATATATCGACATTATTGACATAACAGTGATTAGAAATGCTTATAATTTTGTTCATTATCAATTTGTTACAATTGATAATAGAAATACAAACAATTTACATTGCCTAGAGATTTATAGATGCTTAGAAACGACATGTTTGTTTTCTATACACACACACAAAACTCATCCCACAAAGGAAATAATAATCATAATAATTATATTGCACCTTGGTGATATACTTTAATCATATATGAAAGATCTTTAGAGATTGATAAATAGGATTTAGTTATAATTAAGCCTGGAATTCGATTGAATATAACTATTCGAAATCGTTTCATTTTTATCATTTCAAATTAATTTGTCTTCAAATTCATCTGTGTTTTTTAGTGTTTATGATTTCAAATAAATAATGGCAAAAATATCATTGAAATTTCTTTGTTCATCAACAATGTTAATTAAAACAATAATCATAATGTTTACCATAACAATATCATTGGTTAATGGTAGATGTACAAGCGAACAAATGGCTCAAATTAACCAATGTGCAGTTGATGCTCAATATGATTGGGATATAATAGATACAGATATTGTAAGTAATCTTTATTAATTGTAAGCATCATTTTCCTATTACATGTTTGTCTTGATAGGATACTCCTACACGAAAATTTTGCTGTTTCAAATGGGATACATTGAATTGTCAAGTAAACATTGCTGAAGATTGTGATCCAACTATGGCAAAACACTTAGCATTTGAAACCGAACAAACATATGGTGCAACGTGTGAATATTTTTATCGTCATTCACCATTATGTTTTATACGTTGGTGGTCAGCAATATTGATTGTATTAGCATTGATTTTAATCATAGCTTTAATTGTATTCATTGTTTATCGTAAAAAACAATCAAAATTTTCTCGTGAATATAATACTGCCGAAAGAAATTATTATTGATTCGTAAAAAAACAAACAAACAAAAAACAAAACACAACAAAAACAATCACCATTTGTAAATACTATAATCAATTAAATTTTTTGTTTTTGCCTAATTAATTAAATTTTCAAAAGTATCAAATGTTCACTCTTCATTTATTTAATAGTGTTTTCATAAGAAACAAATTTAATAGAAATAAATCTAATTTTTGTTTTTTTCAAATCAGAATTTGATTTGATCAATGGGAATCTAGCTAATTTGTTGTTGTTGTAAATGATTCATAATCCATTGTCGATAATGTGATACAGCTGTATAGATACCAGGAAAATCGGGCTGTGCACAACGATAACCAAATGATACAACTCCAATCTGATAATGAATACCATCTAATTGCAATGTTAACGGACCACCGGAATCACCTTGACATGCATCTTTTACACCTTGTTCAAATCCGGCACAAATTAATGTTCGTCCAATACCGTAACGAAATTTTTGATCAGCATGTGCCAATCGGCGATAATTTTTATCACAGAATTGATTTTCAATCACTTTGATATCGACAGCCTGAAGAAATTCGGATTGTTTTCCTTCGAAATTTGAATCGCCATAACCGGCTACAGTCGCTTTCATACCGATCAAATTATGACCATACATTCGAGGTGTAGCCAAACAAGCAGGCAAAACAAATGAAGTAAATTGAACTGGATGTGTCAATTCAAGCAAAGCTATATCATGATAAATAACTGGTGGTTTATAATTCGGATGTAGAATGACACGTTTAACTGGAACAGCCGGTCCTTCATGTACAACGTTACTACCATATCGGATATAGAACCAATCAGATAATCTTTAAAAAAAAATTTGATTTGAAAAATTGAATTCAAAATTTAACTATCACATCATACTTTGCACTGTTGAAACAATGTGCAGCGGTCAATACGAAACGATCAGAAATCAATGATCCGCCACAAGTAAATGTATCACGTAGATAAATTGAAACAATCCATGGTATTTCACCGTTTGCAACAGATACACCGGATACAATTCGCTGCGAATGTGATCGAGAATCCCTTATCGTTGATGTTTGATTGAATAGCGACTGAAATCGATCATCCGATTCTAAGTCTTTCATACGACGATCAGGCAGTTCATAAACATAACGTATAAATTGTTGCCGACGATGATTTCGATTAAACATTGTTTGACCACATCGAGGTTGCGTAACCTGAAAATGGTGAAAAGGATGAGAAATTAAAGAATTTTGTACGGTAGCCATTGGATGTGGAACAATATTCCAGAATGAGCCCATTAATGTTTGTCCATTACCGAAACCAAGTGCCAATTGCTTTTGCCACTGTTCTTCAATATCAGCCTCGTTGTTAAGGTCTTTGGGTGTAGATGATTGTCGTTTTTCACAACAAAGTTTAATCGGTATTCGTGTACCAGTCAATCTATTTTGTGACCATTCACATAGGTTGAAAACACTTTGTTTTGGTTCACGTTTCAGACAAATAGGAGTAGAACGACATTCACCCAATGAACCATGGATTGTTTCACATTCACCTTTATTAACTATGTATTCATTATTGGTTTCGTTGTCAGAATCATTTTCATAATCAGGAAGATTATATTCGAAAAATTCTCGATCTTCTTCATCATAATCACTAATCGTGTCCATTGGTTTGGTGGTGAATTTTATCGAATTCGAATCAGTTTCGACCATAGGATTTAAAGATGGCTGTTGGTTTTCGATAATATCATTACTGCCAGGTTCTAATTTTTGCAAAATTGGATCAATTTGATTGGTTGTTGTTTTATCCACTGATTTTAATAACGATTCGAATAATGAAAATAATGATGTTGACCAAAATGAATTTTGTTGAGGTTTCCTTGTTGATGATGATGATATCGAAATGGATGTGGTTGGATAATCATCATGATCGATTTGTTCATCAATGTTAAAATAGTCATCGATAAATGAATCATCATCATAACAATGACAAATGGATGCTTTAAAGACAAACAATGATTATCAGATTAATATTTTTTGATTTTGAAAAAAAATGACAATCTACATACCGTAAATGGTTAATATTTGTAAAATAAAAATGAACATGTCCATAACGATGAATGATTTGTCAAACTGTGATTGATGATGATGATGATGATGATTCTGTCAATCGGTTATAGATCAGATTTGTCTAAAAAACATTTCGTGGATAATCAAATATTGAAAATAACCAAACGTAGATGATAAACATTGTGCTTATGAACATTTCGATATGGCAATCAAATTCACGTTTGACATGTTTTTTTTCAATATGTTTACAAAAAATATAAACAAACTGAAATCGATTAACACGATCGAATGAAATTGGAAGATATTTTTTTTCAAATTTACAAAAATATTGATGGCTGAAGTTGATAACTTCGTTTTATTGGAAAAAGTTTTGGCTGTATTGTTGAATCGGAACCAGTGGATGATGTATGACGTTGCATTTCGATTGCTGATAAAGTTATGTAGCCAACTTGTTGACCATCCTGATCCGATACGGTAACCGATGTTTTATGCTGTTCTGATTTACTAACCGAATCTTTATTATTAATATTCGACTGAATCGAATTTGATGTTCGATGCGACATTTTTGATTGATATTTCATAGAATTTGGTGTAAATATTTTGACACGTGGTAATTCTTTTCGGATTTCAAATCCTTGACGTTGTAAACGCATCATTTGATGATTTGAAATCTCTAATGATCGAAATAATGACATAAAAAATAACATCATACGAAATAATAGAACAATAATCAATCGAACATTAACAATTGAAAGAAACAATAAGAATATAATCTGTATGGCAACAATGGTCAAATGTAAAGTTAGCCATGAATGATGTGCCCAGATATAAGCAAAAAAACCATTCACTTGTGATGCATAGATTATAATGTAGACAGCCAAATTGACATCATATTGAAATGAATAAATCTTACTATCGCTATCTTCAACAAAACTAATCGAATCTTGTTCTTTATTTTTGGTTCCACTATTTCCGTTATCACCTCTACCGGTGGATGTAGTTTGTCGACGATTACGTATCGATGTTGAATTTGTTTCTAATGTTTTTACATCATCATTATCGACAGATGATGATTGTTGTTTGTTATGTCCATCATGATGATTATCATGGTGTTGTTCGTGCCAAACATACATTGTATCCATATTTTTTACACCAAAATCAACATCGACCATAATGTAAACATAATCATAATACAACATTAATGTATTGAATATGAAATCAATGAAAAGCAATAAAACAAACACTGTTACTGGTTGTCGTAGGGTAAGTCGAATGATATCGATTCCTAATGATAAACGAATCGAACAACCATCACGTACAACATTAAAAAAACGAAATAATTTTTGTGAAAAATTTAGCCTATTTTCATCATCATTTGAATTATTTTGTTGATTAATATTCAAAACTAAATTATCATTAGAGAAATTTGAATGAATTGATTGATTTACTGAGGTTGTTGTCGATCTGATTACATTGAATTTATGTTGTTGATTTTGTTGTCGATCATCAAAATAATCTCGATTATAAATGTACATGTTTTTTTTTAGTTTTTCGGATTATGTCGACAATGAAGGAAGGGTGTGTTTGAATTCTTCAAATTCTGACACATTTGTTGCAAACAACAGAAGCTAGTTTTCACAAGAATCACATGAACATGATTCGATTATAAACAAAAACAAAAAACAAAAAAATGGTCATATCTCCATGGTGTCCATTTAATTTTCATCAATTTAGAACCTGACCATTGATTTTGATTTTGATTGATCGATCTATCTATCGATCGATCGATCGATCGATCGATAAGAAAAACAAGAATTATTATCATTCGAATTCAAGTGCATTTCATTGTTTATTTGGGTCATTTTGTTTGTAAATAAAATTTTTGGTCACGATTCTTTCTTTTTTTTTCATTTGTATTTGCATTTCCAATGTTGGTTGAAAGTAAAAATTCTATAGGTTCGAATATCGATCAAGGTAATAAAATTTAATGATTATTCGATCGATAATTTCCTAAAAATAAAGTAATAAAAATAAACAGACAAATAAAAAATCATCACCATCAAGTTTTTCTTCGTAACAATCAATTTTATTTTTCAAGCTGACATGTATGTGTGTGGCTTCTGTTTTTAAAGAATATTTTATGATATAAATGGTGAAAACAGAAAACAAACAGAACAACCATATTATATTTTGGAAATAAATAAAATGAATATTTACAATTAACGAAAAACGAGGGAAAAGAAAAACAATCTATTCATTCATATCATTTGACAACAACAATTTTTAACAATTCAATTCCGAATAACAACAAATAATATTAACAAAACTTTCAATAAACATCACATTTAGAATAACATTGACTTTTCAACATGAATATTTATAGAGAGAAAGGAGGAATAGTGATGTAGAGAATTCTGAATAACGATATGAAAAAAAATGTTGAAATGAGTTTCGGAAAAAAAAGGATTTGGGTCACTTTGGTGGTGGATTAAGCGCTTTAATTTTTTTTTTTGCACAAGTCACAATCGATTAAGATTTTAAAATAAGAATTTATGATTTGATTGATTGATTGATCAGCTCATTAGTTTGTAATAAATTAATGCAGTCCAATAACCAATAGCGAACAATACAAATGAAAATGGAAATAGATAACGGCTACAATAATCAACTTCACTAAGTTTTGATCGTTGTGTTTCATATCCACCCATTCGATTACGATGAGCCGAACTAACCGCTTTCAAATTACGACTTGACATTTGTCGTCGTAATGATTGACGAAATTTTGATAATCGATGTGGTTTATTCGTTGCGGTTGTTGTTGTTGATGTCAATGGTCTGGATGACTGTCGCATTGGTTTTCGTTGATGTAAAAATTTACAATTTTCATTTTCATTATTACGATTATTATTGCTATCAATAATTGTAGATTGTTTTCCCGTCAATTGTTGCTGTTGTTGAATCAATGATAATGTTTGTTGTAAACGTTGTGCATCCAACATTGAACGTTGTGCCGATTGTACCATACCAAGTGTTTCAGCAAATTTTTCACATAATAATTGTTCCAATTCTTTTGATGCACTATGTATACGTTGTTGAGCCTGTACAAAACGATCATTAGTCGATATTGCTGATGGTGGTCTATTTTCATCATTTGTTTTTGCATCTGTTTCTTTGGCTGATTCTAAGAATGAATTTAATCCATTGTTAATGTAAAATTATAAAATCAATCTGTACTTACCATTCGAAAAGAGATCAGTCGGAAGACTAGAAGTTTTCAATGGTGAAACTTGATTATTATTATTATTGGAAATAGCTGCCTGAAATAATGTCTGATGTTGCATAGGATTCGAAGCGGCTGATGTTATTGGATTATTATTCAGTTTATCAAGTTTGCTACTCATCATAGAATCGATACCAGTATTGGCCATCATCAATGATTCTGATTGTCCAAGATGATCAAAACCAAATGGATTATTATTGTTATGATCAACATGGCTGCCATCATCATCATTACCATCATTATTATCATCATCATCATCAAAATTATCATAATAATGTGAAATAGTATAAGCTAATGCATATTCCATCAATGCTAAAAATACCATAATCAAACAGACAAATAGCCAAATATCTACAGCCGTAACATGATTACCAGCTTTTTCATAATTTGTTAGAATTTGTGTCATTATTGTCAATGTTGACATAATACCCAATGACATACGACCCGGTACAGCTTCAACATCGAACCAAAATTGCAACCATGATAATGTTACAATCAACGATGATGGTATATAAACTGTCAACAATGAATGTATAATTCGCCGTTCGAATATAAATTCAACGGTCAATACTGAATAATAATCATTTAGCCAATTGATTGTTGAATAACCGGCAGGCCGCTGTACACGAATATCAAATAATGATGGTGCAAATTCGGTTGAATAAATTACTTCATTTTGATTAACATCCAATAGATCTGGTTTCGGACTAGCCGAATTTGATAGCCATTTGAGCGTTACTTTTCTTATTGGATCGGTGACTAATATAATCATCATAAAATAATCGATAAAAGAAAAATATTGAATATTGATGATTGTTATATTGTTATCACATTACTTACATGTTCGAATCTTAAAATTACATGAATGTTTATCCATTGGATAGATCTGTAGATTCATGTGACAACGTACTTTTAATGAATATCTGTTTGATAAAAAAATAAAAATAAAAAATTAACAACAACATCATTATTATTGTTCAATTTACAAATAATAACAACACTATCCGATTACAACAACATTAATCAAATGATCAAATTTCTATTAAATAGATTCGAACAACAAATAATTTACCTTGATTTTCGCAACAAAACTAATGATCGATTATATTCTGGATGTGCAAGTAATATATTGGTCGGTGGTAAAAGATGTTCTTTTTCGGTTGAATCTTCAAAAATCAATGATGGTGTCCATAAACAATCGGCCATATTTGCTTCTAAAACTGGTATTGGTTCAGATTTTCTTGACCAATATCGTAATGCTGTTGTATTCAGACGTGGTTCTTCCCACATTTCAAAAAGATATAATTGTAATGAAAAATACTGTACAAACAAAATTATTTTTAAAAAAATGTAACAAAATCTTTTAAATAATATTTATAAACTAACATTTTCAGCATCGTTTATATGATCAATATCAAGAATTTCAAGGCCTATGTATACAGGATGTGCTGTGATTTTGTTGAAATAGGAAAAGAAAATTTGTTTGTTTTTTTTTTGTCGTCAAAAATGAAAATCAAAATGAAAAAAAAAACATTTCAAACTTACAATTCGATGGTGGTGAATATGAATAATGATAGGGATTTTTCTTATAGCTTATATGATTATTGGATTTTTTATTTTGTTTTTTTTGTCGTCGTTCTCGACTGTTTGTTGTTGTTGTTGTTGTTGTTTGATCCTGTATTAAAGAATCTGTATTGATCGGTTCAGTTGGATCAGCCAATATTGGTTGTGTTTGTATATGGCTCGATTGATCCAAATAATGTGGTTGTTGTTGATTTTGTGCTGCATTTATAACAGGAATCTGAACTGAACCAATATCTTGTCGACGGGTTCTTATCGATGATGATGATGTTGATGTTTCTTTGGAATTAGGCAAAGGCAAAGATTCCATAAGGCTATGGCTGGTTAGATTCTTTAGATTCGATTTGATGATTGATGATGATGATGATGTGTTGCTTTCCTCTTCTTTCGATATTGAATGGATGTGCGGATAATGTAAATTATTATGATGATGATGATGACGATTCGAATGTACAATAGTAGATGGCATTTCCTTCATTTCAAATATCGAACGTATCATTCGTTTTGATCTAGTTTGATCAATTTGATCATTGATATCATCATTATCATCATCACCACCGTTAATGTCGACAGAATTCTCATCATCATCATCAACAACATTGAAAATGAATCTAATTGGTGAATGAGTAAAGTGGAAAACAAAAAAAACAATTAAATTTGATAATTTGACTTTACAGAAACAAGAACAGATTCTATCGTAATGTTTTCATAGAACTTACTTGCAAAAATCATTAGAGAACATAATGGATGTAAATTGTTCTTCAGGCATCACTGATTTAATGTCTGTTTGTGTGGATGATTGATGAACAAAGCACATCACATTAACTGGAATGAGATACAAAATGATTGTCATCATCATCAACAAATTTGATAACCGATGGACAGCCATTTTTGTTGTTGTTGTTGTTGATGTTTGTCTTTAGTTGCTTTCAATTTACACAGATCAATTGGCCATTAGGTGATAATTTCTTTTTTTCGTTCATATTGTTTACGTGATTGTTGTCATTCAAATGAATTCTATCGGAAGATATTTACAATAACAATAATCAAAAAAATCAATCAAACAATTAATATAATGAATATTGACAATTGGCAAAAGGAAAATAGTACAATTCTTCAAACAAAACAAAACAAAAAAGTAAAGAATTTCTAATTAATTACACACTTTATAATTGGCAATCGATAATGTTAAATTCAATCAAAACATTACAATTAATGGACAATCCATTAGTCGAAAAGAAAATGACGGAAGATGAAAAAAAGAGGAATTCAATTTTGATTATACCTTTTCATTAACGTCATACACTCTTGTTGCATCGGACGATTTTCAATTTGAATGTCAAATCGATATGCAAAAAAAAATGAATCGATTTACATTCGTCCCATCCAACCGATCCATTATGTTGATTTTGTTTTGTTTTTGTTTTACAGAAGTTTACTTTCTGTACGTGATTGTAGAATATTTATTTTTTTCACATCCTTAACTTTTTATGTGAATTAATTTAATTAAATATATTGGCTATAATTGATGGTGATTGGTGTCAACAAATCTCTTGATGATTTTGTGTTTCAATTTGATTTTCATTCATTTAAAACATTGATACAATGTGTATTTGGCATATGATTTAAAAAAAATGTTAATTACTTTAACCAAGAAAAAAAGAAAAAGAAAAATTCCTTTCATGAGAAACAAAAACAACTAACGATGATAATGATATGTTATATTATGCAATCATATTATCATTATCATTATTATTCCTTGATAGATCCTATAAGTTTGATTAACATATTGATTTATTTGTCGAATTCATTATTCCCCACCAAAAAAATGAAAAAGAAAAAGTGGTTCTCCATATTCATTAAGATAATCACCATAATACATTGCTAAAAAGGAAAGGAAAAGAAAAAATTGAAAAAAAATTGTCTGCAAAACTATGACAGAAGAAAAAAGAATGAAGAAATTAGATGCATTGCATTACGATAAAATTGGGTATGAATAAATTATGATGGCATTATCATCATCATCATGATGATCAGTAGAAGGCAAATGTACCATTGATAATAATAATAATTGCTAAAATACAAGAATCCGGAGTTAGATGCAGAATTTTTTGTTTTTGTTTTTATAGATGTTGAAGAAAAAATGGAAATTCCATTACAAAATATTTTTTTTTAGTATTTGAAGGAAATTTGGACGGAATATACACATTTTTCATCTGGGTTAATAAAATATATCTTTGTGAAATTGAGAAACGAAACCAAATATGAATGAAAGAAGCAGCTGCTTTTTTCCCAAAAAAAAATATTTGTGGCAAAAGGATGTGTGTTTATGTATGTGTGGTCAAGCATTTGGAGCATGGAATTTCAATTTTGTTTATTTTTTTTTTTGTGAAAAGATGGATCGCTGATGTCATTTTTTTCATCATCATGAAATCATCATGAAAAAGAAATTGTCAATTCTTTTCTTTTCTCATTTCTAAATAATAATAAAAAATTTGATAATGTTCAGAAATTAAATGCATCTAATTTTGAAAATTTAGATTTTAACAATAAATCCTTCAAGATGGAATTATTTATTGGATTTTTTACTTTGACTATAAAAAACAGCAAACAAACAAACGAAAAAAGAGACGAAAATTGAGTTCATCATATGGTTGTATACAACAATTCTGTTGTTTTTTTTTCTAATATTCTTGAACTTGATCAACTTTTTTGTTTGTTTGTTTGTTTGAATCTAATTATAGGAAACATTTATTATGATGTCGCGACTAGATAAAATAATAATGTGTTAACACTTCTTTGCATCAATCGGGTTGTGAAAATAGAAAAGGAATTTCTTTTTGTTGTTGTTGTTGTTGTTGCTGATGAATAACAAAAAAAACATCATTTACATTTTCAACTGATTTTTATTCATCAAATTACAATGTTTTTTCTCTATTCTATTCTATTCTGTTTGCAATTCGACGAAAATCAAGATGAGTTAATGATTGTTTACCATATGATAAATTTAAAATGAACAAAAATACATTTCCAACACTTCTGAATGATTGGCCATAGAATAACAACAACGACTACAAACTTTTAAAAAACAAACATGATAAACATCATCATTATGGATATCCGATGATCAAATGGAATGTCAAGATCAACATCAGCATTTTGGAAAAAAAACAAAACAAAACAAACTTTATTTGTTTGTTTGTTGCATTTCATTGTCATTAAATTGTTGATATTCTTTGATTATGGCTCATTTATTGTGTCGTCTGCGAATTGATTCAAACAATTTTTTTTCTCTTATTTTGAATGTAGAATTTTTTTCATTAGTTTTGAAAAAGTTTTAGTTTTTCTTTTCAAAATATACTTGGCAACCATACAAGCACAAGATTGCCTTGGAAACATTCTGTATGCAGAATATTTTCCATATATTCATCTATGCTCGATCATCATTGATTTGAATGAATTTTACATTTCTTTATTTATTTTTTCTTACGCCTTAATTCTTTTTGATGATTGCAATCATCATTTTGATTGATGTTTGATAAACTTAACTATGATTCTTGAATGAAATCATCATCAGATATAAACTGTGAATGATAAGTTTTTTTCGTTAATGAAAAACGAAGTAAATTTCATCTTCTAACCGTGAAAAAATCATTCTCCTGTCATCCTTTGTTTATTTTCCTTTCTCAATTGTCAATCAAAATTAGATTAGCTTAGATAATATCGCTGTTGGAGAGATGAATGTTTGCTTGTAATTAATTAGTTTTGATTAATCTTTGTTTCGTTTTTTTCTCTTATCTAAAATCTAAGATTCGTCAGGAAATGTGTAGCTCAATCAGAATTTACATTACAGAATTTCTAAGTGTTTTGCTTGTAGCCTTTGAAAAACAACAACAAACATAAACATTTAATCATCATTGAATGTTGAGCCGGAATTTCAAGTGTCATTGTTTCAACAACAACAGCAAAAATGAAATTAAGAATTCTAAAAAAAATGAAATAGCCATTGAAATGTCAATATAGAAGGAGAAAAAACGCATTTTTCCATCACTATTGAACGAGATATAGAGAGAATAAACAGAACAAAACTTTTTTCTTCTTCAATCCAATTATGTTTGACGATATAATATACGTTGGTTTCGGTAGCTAAGATGTTTGGTTTTTTATGTTTACCGAACATTCTGTCGGTTTGTTTGATTTTGGCTGTTGAACATCAATGTTAAAAGATGATAAAATAAAATAAAAATTGGGTCATTGTCATATCATCATTGTCAAGAATATATGGTTATATGGTTTTTTTTGTTGTGTGTGGATGATTTTATTTCACTGGAATTCATATTCGCTTGTTGACTGTAACAAATGTTTGTTTGATCAATATTTGTTTGTAATTGTGGCTGCCTGTATTTATCGATTGTGTTTTATGCCGAAACATTTTCATTGCTTGTCAACAACAACAAAAAAACGATATCAGACATATGTCCGATTGGGATATGTCAGATCGATCCATCGATTGATATATCAATGGAAATTCTTAGATGATGTGATGAACAAAATAATATTTACTTTTTTTCTGGAAAGAATTTTATATTTCAAAAAAAAATTTCAAAGAATTTTTTATATTGCAATATGTCAGTCAAGAAATAATCTTCAAGGTAAATATTATTAAAGAACTTACTTTATTATTATTTTGTTTCATTTTGGATGACATAAATGAAATTATGATTAATGATGATAAAATGTTAAAGCCATAGATATTTTCAAAACAAAACAATTCTTCATTATACAGTTAATATTATTAGATTAGATTCGGAAAACAAATAATGACTTGAATGACGGGTGGAAAATCATTATCATCATTATTGTTTCGCTTATTTAAATGAATAATAATCACAGATAGAATATGATGAGAATAGAATAAGAATCTTAAAAATTTTGGTTCGACAAACAAAACAAAATAATAAATTGTAACAACGAATAACATAAATCAAAATGAATTACGATGAAAAAAAAACGACATAGAAAAAAATCAAATATGAATGAAATGAATGAGATACAACAACAGGCGCGCCATCAATATTTGGCAATGGCAATGGAAGCCATTCACAACTCTCATCAGATCAATGTTCAAGATGAAACTGAATTTTATATTTCCGAATGATGGCTGCTGGTAACTGAAAAAACCATATCGAAAAAGCAACCGAATCAGCCATTATTCATTTTAGTTGTTGTTGTTGTACAGGTCCCAATTCTGTTGGTTGTTGTTGTTGTTGTTTTATTTTTCTTTGGGGTCCCGCTTGTAGAGGTATTCTTTCTATCTGTTCGATTCTGTTGTGTATGTGTTTGAACTAAATTCTTGCCAGAAATACAGTCACAAAAAAAAGAATATAAGCTGCCAGCTTATATCAAATATTTTTTTTGGCTATATTATTCTTCATGTTTGAAGAAGAAGAGTATATTCCGCCATGCGTTCTTTTTTCTTGTTTCTTTTTTTTGTTCATTCCTTATGTTGATGATGATGTGGATGATGATGATGATAATATGAACAAACAACTGAATAAACAAAAAACAACAGCACAGGAAAGTTAATCCCATAAAAGTAAAGGAATTTTTTTTTCAGTGGAACACAAAAGAAAAAGAAGTGAAGTGAAGAGCGATCCTAGAATCTAGATCTTTTTTTTTGTTGGGATGATTATATGAATATCTTATCGATTATTACTTTCAAAAGGTTCACGCATGTATTGTAGTAATGTGCATTGTAATCATAATCATTATTATCACATAGTGATTAACAGTTTCAGGCTAAGTTTCACTAGAGACATGTGCCATTGACATCGCAGGTTTTCCCCGATGAATTAAGTGATAGTGGTGGTTGTTTGTTTGTTTTTTGTGTACCAAAATCAAACTTACTTTACCGGAAAAAATTATTATTATGATTTTCATTAAGTAATTGGCAAAGGACATGATACAATTATATCCATATACTGTCTGGCTGAATGACTGACCAAAAGTAATAAACAAACAAAAAACGTTAATGGAAACTTTTTTCCATCTCTTTTATTGTTACATCTAGATTCATTAAATTATATGCTTATCATACACACACACAGGCAGACACATTAACTCACATCACCACCAACCACCATCACCTTCATCATCAAACAGAATAATGTGATAAAAATGCGCAAGAATCACTTTTTTTTTGTTTCACAACATTCTTTACAATGACAATTGAAAGCAATAGACCTTGGCTAATGAATGGCTTCCTAACAAGCCCAAAAACAAAACAAAACAAAGCAAAACAAAACAAAAAACCATTTTTACAACTAATTAAATGAGTTTTACTATACTATCACTGAGAAATCTTTCATTCATACTTCCGAATTAATTATTTTAGCAAAAAAAAAAAAAATAAATAAATAAAAAAATAAAGAATATAAAAAAATCCAAACAGGAAATATTTTTACTGATTGATGTAACAAACAAACAAACGAAAAACAACAAAACAATCAATCATTATTTATTTGACAAAAAAAAAATTTAATGTATAGAAAAAAAATTGAATGTATTGATTTGTAATGTAGAAAAAATGGATGAATTGAATATTTGTGTAAATGAACAATAAATGGGTAAGAACAATTATTCATTGATCGAAAAAAAAAAAATGAAATGGAATTAAATGTTGTGTGCAATGTGTGTGTGTGTTTATCGATAATCATAATGTCTCATTTCATTTTTATGTTCTTCACTTTGTCGTAGTAGCAAAAATGAGAATAACAATGATCCAAATTCAACAAGAATCAATGAACAAACAATACCACCAACAGCACCACCACGTTTTTCCAGATATCGTCGTAACATTTCAGCACAGCTCTGGAATAAAATTACAATCAAACAAATGAATGATTCAATATTAATATATTGGTTAGATTAAACTTACCCGAATATTAATATTATTTGTACGTGGTGAATTACAAGAAGCCGGTATATCTTGATACATTTTTCGATAATCCAACATAGTTTGTGCACCACAACATTCTAATTTTAATTGAATAAGATCAAGAAATTGTCTTGATTTTGTATTATAAAGTCGTTGTTCCATATGCCATTTAAATTCATCACCAAGATGATATTGTAAAGCATCACCGCCAGGTATTCGCCAAACAAGTATAGCGGCTGCAATTTCCAATATAATCAATATACCTGACATTATACAATACTTGATTTTTTTTGCAAACAAAATGAATGATTATTTATTTATTCAAGAGAAAAAGATTATTATCAAATATTCAATACTTACGAAAAGCATTAGGTATTTAAATTCATGTGCTGCACTTAAACAACCAAGAAATGCTAAAACCAAAATTAAAGCACTGATTGCTAAACATATATAGGTAGCTTGATAATAACGATAAATGTCCATATTATCACTATATGCCCATAATGCTGAATCTGAACGTATCCATATACAAATGGCCAATAATACGACACCTAAACTCTGTAATATTTTGTTTAAATAATTAATATCAATGAATAAGGTCATCTAAGGAATTTGATTGAAACAAAAAAAAAACAAACCCAAAGCATGAAGTTAGTTGCATATACACCCATTTTCAATGGAAGTAAACTTTCGTGATGTGTAGCACCCATTGTTTATTTGCAAAATTATATGAATATGAAACAACAACAAAAAATGAGAAATGAATTAATGTTTTTTTTCTGGATCAAAATAACAAATCGCGTAGAATTGCGTAGGAAAAAAAAACTTTTAGATATTTCTATATTTTTTTATGATTGCTTAATGGATGAGACAGTGGCCAAGAATGCAATGCAATTACAAATTTACAAACAATCCCTCTCTTTTTTTTTGTCTAATCAACAATCATCAATGATAACGGTAGTTAACGGATTGTTTTTTTTATAACTAAAAACAACATCTCTAAAATCCTGGTTTCCATTGACATCTTTTTTTAGTGTCAATGATAAATTTCACGGTAACCTATGGTGATTGTTTAATTATTTACTGTTTTATTTTTTTTTGTCAATATTAAAAAAAATCTAGCCAAAACCTAACAACCAATTATCATTATCAATAGCAAATAACAACTTGTTGTATAGGTGTGTGTGTGTGTGTGTGTCACACACATAAACAAAAAATCTTTTCGATTAGAATCCATACTGTTAAAATGGAAATTAAAGTTTTTTGGTTCATTCAATTTATGATTTTTGTTTTTTTTACGGAAACAAATCAATTTTTCTTAATACAAATTATTCAATTATAAATGAATTTTTCATTATAAAACGAAATCGGATCAAGCGGATATCGGATCCAAACAAAATTAAATACATGTTGTGATCGATCCATCAATCAATCAAACAAACAAATCGAATAGATTTTTGATGATTGTGTTAACCATCAATAATCATGATCATGGTTACTATGGTAAATTTTATTTCCATTTCATTTCCGTCGCAACATAACTCTTATCGTTTAATCATACACCTGCTGCATATGTTTAAACAACAAATTGTTTAAATTGATAGTTGTTTTTTTTTGTAATTGGAAATAAATACATCGACATTGACATCTGATGGCGGAAATTGTAATTATTTAATTATGTTTTGTTTGATTATTGATGGATGTATCATCGACAACAAACGGATGAAAAAAATTTCGAAAAAAACGTTGAAAAAGATAAAGTGGTCGACGAATTAACCATATTGGACGTTGTTGATTATTATTGTGACCCGAATCGGTCATATTGTTGATAATGTTATAATAATTATCAGGATATGGACGAAATTGTCTCTGTCCCGGTGGTATTGGTGTTTGATAATTTCGATTATAATTATTGTTCATTGGAAATGGAAACATCATTGAATTGGTTGGTTGTTGTTGTTGTTGTTGTTGAGCATCGATAAAACATAAAATACAATAATAGCAATAAACGGTCATCAAATTGAGCCATACGATTGATAGTGGAATTTGTGCCATATTTTTCTATCGCAATGTTTAATATCACATGTCAATCGATAACAGAGCTAATATATCTAACTTTTATAAATCATATCTTTTTATAGTTCTAAAAAACATATATAATTAGAATCGGTGACAAATTCCGAACTAATCAATCAAAATCGAATCATCATTATTGTTCAAAATTATGATTACAATTCAAAGCTGTCCAAATAAAAGTAGATTTTTTTTAATTAAAAAAAATGTAATTAAAAATCAAGGTTAGAATTGCCGTCATATGCCGAAAAAGATAAAAAAAATTTCTATTTAAATACTATGATCATGAAATTAAAAATGATAGATCGATCAATCAATCAATCACTTGTCAAATTCTTTAGCAAATTCTTCAACAAACAATCATTATGAATGATCAATCAAAATGGCTATACATCTTTTTCCTGATGACAATGATGACCATAACCATATCGTTGGCAATTAGTGACAATAATCCATCCGTCATGATGATGGATCAATTATTTCGACAACCTCAACCAATGTATTCTCAAGATAGAAATAGAGGTAAGTTTACCCTAGAAAAAATTCAATACTGATTATTAATGGAATTACATTCATTAGGAATGAGTGGAGGAGAAGGAAGAGGTGGACAACAAAGACGACGAAACGGAGGAAGAAGGCGAATGAGAAATGGAAATGGTGGTGGTGGTTGTCGTTATGAAGATGGTAACAACGAAAACAATCAAATGGATTCTGAAGAATGATTGTATCATTCTAAGTTTTGTCATTATTATTATTATTATTTGTTATTTTTTCAACATAAAGTTTTCAGTAATCAAATTAAAAAATCAATTTTCGTTTTTTTTTCTGATCAAACAATTTTCCAAAAATATTAGATATGTCATTTAAATTGTAATTATAATTGTGTGTAATAATTTATTGTCGATTTCTTAACCATTCGAATACTTTCATACGATAATTTTGAGTCCAGGCAATGTTTGTCTGTATGGTTTCCAATGATTTATTTAGATTTACATCGGAAACACCGGTATCACGATGTACGATGAAAAATTGTTGAAATTCTTTTAATTGTTTTTCCGTATAAAGATATCGAGCAAAATATGTTGCTAATCGTCCAATATTTGATGATGATAATCTTTGTGAAAGAATACGACGATAATTTTGTTGAAAATATTGCCAACCAATTTCCAAACCAACAGGTGTTCTTAATATATAGGTATAAAGACCTAGATAATCTTGACGACGAACATATTTTTGTTCCATACCATAATCCATTAATCTAAAATAAATTTCCGGGATAAAAATCAATAAAATCATGACAAGATCAGGATTGTAACTTACTTAATGAGCAATTCTTTGTTCTGTGTTTGAGCCAATGCCTGTAGATAATTCAATTTCATTACGGTAGATTGTTCTTCGATATATTTTTCCCATACGAAATTCCAATCATCAACATCATTCGATTCTTGAATAGCGTAACGAAGCACAACAGTGATTATATTTGGCGATATTCTATCAATATAACCATTACGCCATTTTTTAAATTCTACTTGGGCTTCGGCTAAACATAAATCAAAACCATAGGCACAGGCAAATGATGTTACTGTCGAACGTAATCGTTGCGAATTAATATCGGATTGTTTGGATGAATCTTGAAGATTGAAGTCTCGGTAAACATCACGTACAAGATCATGTGCAAATGAACGATAAGCTTGCCGCATTAACTGATTTAGATTGATTGATCCATCATCGAGATTATTATCATTACGGAAATACGGCCATAATTTGCTAAGAATATTTGAACCAGTTGACCAAACCGAATACAATCGATTTGTTTTCAATATTTCAAGTAATTCGAATACTTTTTCGAATGGCAATAGATTTACATTGGCTAAACGAAAAGCATCAAACATAAGATGTGAATAATCTTGTGATGTTAGACTTAATTTTGACATTGTTTCTTGATCTCGAAATAATGATGTCCATTTGTTCCATTCATCTATTGGATAATTGACAATATAGAATCCTTGAGAATCACAATTAAATTTCAATGGTAATGATTCATCATTTGGTCTTTCCAATACGATTTCTTGTTCAACATTTGAAATATATTCAATTTTCAGCTCACCGGATTTCGAATAATCAATATAATATGAAAGTGGAACAATCCAATAATCACTGTAAAATTTTTCAGAATAAAATGTATAACTACATAAATAAAATCAATTAATTAATTTCATACTTATTATCAGGGAATTTTCCATTCGATAAAAATCTTTGCTGTGTTATCTTATATCGAGTACTATTATCGATTCGAGTGATGTTTATGTAAGGAAATCCAGGTTTCAATGTCCATGATTCTAAAAATTTTCTTGTTTCATCATATCCTTCGATTTTAATTTTAGAGATTTCAGTTAAAAATTTATCTGTCGTGACTGTTTGATATTGATTTTGTTTTAAATATTTTTCCAATTGACCATAAAATGATTCGGTACTTAAAGCGAATTCAAACATTCGTAAGATGGATGAACCCTTATTTCGGAAAAAATAAATTTTATAATCATTAATAAAATGCTCTGAATAAAGAGAGTATATAAAAATATTTAACCTTTTGATATATAATAGGTGTTATATAGGGAATTTCGGAAGCTTTATTAATTGAAGGTCTAGCCAATGGATGGGCAGTAATACTAGCATCAGCATCCATACCGGCAATATAATCAGTTATAAAGAATAATTGTTTATAATTCCAATCCGGTTCAACATTATCGACAGCAAACCATTCTAGATATGAAGCGAATGCTTCATTTAGCCAAAGATCTGTCCACCAATCACAGGTGACTAGATTTCCGAACCACTAAATAAGAAAAAAAAATAATCAATCAACAATTTAAATGAAAATAATGCAAAAACAATTACCATATGAGTAATTTCATGTGCAACAACAGCTACAACACTCATTTTATCTGCCGCCGAAGATGTTAAATCATTCCATAATAATGCCGTTTCACGGAATGTTAATAGGCCCCAATTTTCCATTGCACCAGCATTAAAATCTGGTAATGCTACAAGATGCATTTTATCCAATTGATATGAATAATTTAATCTATTTTGAAAATTTTCAATTATATCAGGTGCTTTTGCTAATGAATAGGCTGTATTATCGATTTCAGGTGGTGATGAACAAATATCTACATTGATTAAGTCACCATTTAATGAATGTGTTTCATTGTGTCTACAATCAAAATCACTGATAATAAATGCCAATAAATAGGTAACCATTTTTGGTGTTTCTTCAAATTCCGTTTTTGTCCATTCAGTTTCATCGGAAAATATTTCTTTCAGTTTGATATCCGTATTCGATATGGCAGTGTAATTTGTATGATGTTCAATTGTAACATGAAATATTGATTTGAATGATGGTTCATCAAAACATGGAAATGCTTGTCGTGCATGAGTATCTTGGAATTGTGTTGCAGCCAATTTCTTAACATTTCCATTGTTATCATTATATTTACTTAGATAGAAACCGGTCATATCTGTATCAAGTTTACTGTTGAATTCGAAATTCAATGTAATGTTCAATGGTTTTTGATTTTCAACAATGATAGATTCTTTCATTTCAATTACCCAAAATTCATTTGATTCATATGCAAATGTTTGTTTGATTTCTAAATCAGTTTTGGATTCAGTAATGGATACTTTCGAATCGGTTATATTCAATGATTTTGCCGCATGTAAAATCACATAATTAATTGTCTCTTTTATTTCGACAATAATTTCGACAGTTCCTTCGAATTGTTCTTGATCTAAATCAACTTTTATGGACAAATCATATTTTATGGGAATAACATTTGGATTCAAACGAAATTCAGTGAATGGACAAACATCATTTCCGCACTATTTTGAAATAGAGAAATAACGATTTAACAAAATGATTTTTGCTTACTATAAATCAATTTTACTTACCAAAAGAAATCGTTCAACTTCAATCATTCGATTTGCTATCCAATTAATATTATTATCAATTTTGTTTAGAATATCATTCTGTTGATTTTGAGTAAGACCGGTGTTTGGATATTTGGCAAAAAATTGTTTCATTTCATTTTTTTGATCGGCAGTGAAAAAATATCTGGAACTAATACTATTTAATAATGATGATATTTGTGTCAAACGTAATGGTGAACCTTTTCGAATGAATTTTGAATAATTATCTTGAATAAATTTCCATAAAATTGCTAAACTTTTTGGATTATCACAGCCACTGATTGCAATGAATACCGAATATGAATCTTGTGATCGAATTATTTGATCGGCATTCAATGCTTGTGTTAATAACATTGTTAATAATTTTTCATCATTAGTCTGTGCTAAAGCATTCATATAGATTGAACGTAATGTAGACGATGTTTCATTGGAATATTGTGACCAAACAAACAACCATTGATCGGTTGAATTAGAATTTTGTATACCATATTCAAGTACAGTACTCAATAGATTTGGATTTGGAATTTTATCCATTTCTTGATTCTGTTTAGCAATAATCCATTGTTGAAATAATCGATCACTTTGTTCAAGACAATCATTTATTTGATTAAAACAGGCAAATTCCAATATTGAAGATCGTAATCTTCGTTTAGTTACCGGTTCTTCTATCGTATCATTCCATCCCAAATTCTCATAAACGGGTTTGATAAGATTTTGTAAATATTCACGGAATTTTCCTTTATATGAACTTGAATGCGAAATATATCTTTGAATTGAACTAAATCCACGTATGGCCGTTGTCCATGGAGATAAATGTGTTTCATTGACTAGATATTTAGCCAAATTTAATGGCACATTATATGAAAGTAGATTAGCTTGAGCAAGATAAAATGCATCCATCATTATTCCACTGCGATCTAGTACGGGTATTTCAGATGATTTATCCATAAATGTATCAATCCATTGTTTCCAAATTTTTGATGGATAATTTACGAGATAATAACCAGAATGACGAGCATTTAAATTGATTGGAAGTTGGATATTGCCTGGAGTAAAATCCATTGTTTTATCGATCATGAATTTGGTATTCGTATTATCCCATCCAGAATCAATATAGTATTTGATTGGTATTTTCCAAATAGGTATTGTATCATTTTTAGAATCTTGTAATAGAAATCGATCTTGTACAAGATGATAAGATCCAGTGCTCGATTCAGTAACATTTATGTATGGAATACCATTACTGAAAAACCAATCCTGAATAAAATCGCTCATTTTTACTGTTTGATCAGTATCATTGAATATAAATTTATTATCAAATTCTGCCAATAGCATTTCAGGTCGAACGCTTGTGAATTTATGTTTATTAAGATAATCACGAAGTGCTGCATAAAAATTTTCAGTTCCCATTACTGTTTCAATCATACGTAAAATTGAAGCACCCTTTGAATAGATTATACTGGAATCAGCTTGTTCGCTTTGTTCAGTACGAGTAACATTACGTATTAATGGATGATTATCTTTAGCATCGGCTGTCAAACCGTATTCAAATTCAGATATTAAAAATAGATCAAAAGTATTCCATTCAGGTTCAACTTCATCAACTGTAGTATATTGCATATAGGTTGCAAATGCTTCATTCAATGCAATAAAATCCCACCATTCGCATGTAACCAGATTACCAAACCAAAAATGAGCCAATTCATGTGCAATCGTATTCATAATTGACATTTTTCTTTCCGATGTTGTATCTTGTTCATTGAATAATAATGCTGTTTCCCGGAATGTAATAAGGCCCCAATTTTCCATAGCACCATAATAGAAATCTGGTATGGCAATCAAATCTACTTTATTCATTGGATAAGGATGACCAAGCTTGTTCTCAAGATGGCTCAAACATTTCGGCGCTTTTTCCAATGCATAATCTAATTTATGTCCTTGAAGATGTGATGCACACACACCGACATTAACTTGATTATTTTCAATTGTATAATTTTTACAAACAAAATTACTGACAGCCATTGCAACCAGATATGTAACCATATCTAATGATTGATTAAATCTTGTCTGAATCCATTGTGTATTGGGAATAGGTTTCACTTCAATCACTTCCATATTTGATAATGTTGTATTCATTTCTTTATCATGAATAATTGAAATATTGAATTTTGATTTAAATGCTGGTTCATCAAAACATGGAAACACTTTACGTGCATCGAAAAATTCAAATTGTGTTGAAGCCATTTTAAAATGTTCATTTCCATTCGTATAGTTTGATCTATATAAACCGGAAATACCAGCATCCAGAAGGTTGGCTGTAAAATTAAATGTTAATTCATATTGTCCGATCGATTGTTGTTGATCGAATTCAATTACAACAAATTGTTTTGGCAGATATCTAAACATTGTAACATCTTCAATTGAATAATTATCCGAATTTTTAACTGATATTAATTTTACTTGAAGCATTTGAGCTGCATGTAAAACAATATATTCAAATGGTTGCAAAGCTTCAATTTGAATGACCACACTACCATTGTAGATATTTGTTGTTAGATTAACCTGTATGGTTAGATCATAATGTTTAGGTTGAATGATGGTCTTATTAATACGTGTTTGTGCCCATGGACATGGTTCAGGTGTTTGACGTCCACAAGCATTCTGACCAAACCATTCACCAACTGTTACTTTATTATTTGTCATCCAAGCCAGATTGTATTCGATTCGAGCAAATGTTGATTCTTGTCCACTCATCGAAACACCTGTTTGTTTATCTTTCAAAAAATTCCAAATAATTAATCGACGTTTTTCTGTTACAGTATGATCAGCAAATCTTGTAATAATCATATCCATTTGTGATGTAGATAATTTTCTTGATAACATTGAATAATTTTCGGTAAAATATTGCCAAATCATTTGTTCATGTTCATAACGATGAATAATGTAAAGGAAAAATTCGACAAAATGATTATTCGATACAATTGATTCGTTCAAAGCAAGATCTAAATATTTTTGAACAATTTTACTGTCGGAAATATGACTTAAAGCTTCAAGATAGCTAGTTTTATTGGTATGTGTAATTTTTTCCGATAAAAATCTTTGCCAAACAAATTCATAATCTTGTAAATTTTTACTTGATTGCATAGCATACGATAATGTATAAGAGAATAAATCCGGTTGAATTGTATTATTTTGATCTTTCCATTTTTCAAACATTGTAAGCGCATCTTTCAAACATTGTTTATTACCACTTCCACATGCATTTTGTATCAATATTTTTCGAAACATTCGATCAATTATTGTTGTATTTTCAAAGTTCCAAAAATCAATACCACTATAATGTGATTGAGTTAATCGACGTTCAAAATGAAGATATGATTCACGATATTCGGTACGTTCCATTTCCCATGCAAGATTAGCAATCAATTTGGAATGAATAGTCCATGGAACATAATGTGTTTCATGTACAAGATAATTATAAATATCCAATGCAATCGAAAATGGTGCAAGTTTTGCTCGTGATAAAAAGTATGATGATGTTATCAATTCACTACGATCATTAACAGTTAATAATGAAACAATATTGTTTTCATTTGTTATCAAATTATTAATCAATTTTGACCATTGTTCAGCAGGATAATTAACAAAATAAAAACCATTAAAGTTAGGATTTATTTTGATACCATCAAAATTGTCAATCTGGCCGGTTTTTTTCGATAAAAATTGAATCGACGATTTTTTCAATTGTTGTTGTTCATACGTATAATATTGGAATGGTATTACATAGGTTAAATCATTTGATGGTCGATCACCATTTCGAATGAATCGTTCTTGTACATATGTACAGGATTTATTCATTTCATCACAAGTAATATTCAAATATGGAAAACCTATTTGTTCGGTCCAAGAAGTAAAAAATTCTCTTGCATTTTGTGTATCATTATAAAGCCAATTTGTTTCTAATGCTTCATAAAGATTTTCACTTGTTGCTGTTTGAAATTGTAATGAATTCAGATATGTTTGAATTGATTGCTGAAATTCTTTCGAACCCATTGTATTTTCAAACATATTTAATATTGTCGATCCTTTATTATAAACAATTCTTGTCATATAATTCATTTCATTTGGTTTGTTCACTTTACGAATTAATGGTTGAGATGTTTGTTCGTAATCACCAACGATTGCTTTATATGTATGATCCTGTACAAATGTATCCCATATATTCCATTCTGGATGTGCTGCATTCATGCCTTTATATTCCATAAATGATGCAAATCCTTCATTCAACCAAAGATCACCCCAGAAATTCATTGTAACTAGATCACCAAACCACATATGTGCTAATTCATGTGCAATCACATTACAGGTATCTTTTTTATCTTCAGAAAGATTATCCATTTCATACCACATCAATTTTTTCTGACGATATTTTATAATACCCCAATTTTCCATTGCACCAGCTGAAAATTGTGGCAATGCTATTTGATCCAATTTCGGTAAACTATATTCAATTCCTGTATAAGTTTCATAAAATTTCAAAATTTTCGGTGTAACACTCAACGAATATTCATGATGATATTCACTGTACAATGGCGATGAACATACATTAATTGTAAGATTGCGAAGTTCAACGTATTGCCGTGGTGTACATTTGAAATTTGATACAAGAATAGCAATCAAATATGTAACCATAGGTGGCGTCGTATCGAATTTCGTTTCTTGCAAATTATCATCGATTTCATTGGTAGAAATGATATCCATATTTGATAATGTCGTTGACATTTTTTTCGGATGTATTACTGTAATTGATATATTTGATTTGAATGCAGGTTCATCAAAACAGGGAAACATTTTTCTTGCATGTGTTGATTCAAATTGTGTTGCAGCTAAATTGATACGTGTACCATTGTTATCATCATACCAACCGCGATAAAGGCCAACTTGATCAGTTTTCAATAGATTACCATCGAAATTTAATTCGACTATATAATTATCACCTTTTGTTGTTTTTTCTTTCAATGGAATCACATAAAAATCTAATGGTGAATAAGTAAATCCACGTCCGGTAGACAAATTAGATTCGGTTTCTGTATCACGTTTTTGTTTCTGTTCAATTCGAGTAATTTTTGGTGATGAAACATCCAATATATCTGCAGCATGAAGAATAATGTGATCGATTTCATCATCAATGTTTACCTGTATTTTAACGGTACCATTATATCGGAATGTATCAGTATCGATCTGGATAGTTAGATCATATTTTGAAGGTTTGACCAATTGATTCAATCGATATTGATTCCATGGACAATGTTTTGAATCACAATCATCTGTAACATATTCAATCACATTTTTATAATAAGATTTTGACCAACGAATATTTGCATCAATTAGATCTATTGTTTGTTGTCGATAAAGTTCACTTGCACCGGCTTCAGGATATTTTTGAAATAATTCCATTACTTCTTCACGACGTTTATTGGTGGTAAAATGAAATGCAAAACGATAAACAGCGCGACCAACATTCGAATCATCCAGTCCATATCGTTGTTGAATTTCAGGATAATGTTCACGATAAAAATCCCATGCTAAATCTAATCCAACAGAATTATCGGACATATACATGAGAAATGTAAAAAAATCTTGTGTACGAAGATAAGTAGTGTTCAACGAATTGTTAAGCAATTTTCGTAACATATTTTCATCAGTATTTGCTGTCATTGCTTTAAGATAGGTCATTTTTTCATTAGTTGTATTGGCTTGATTATAACGTTCTTGAAGAAAATTGAAATTATCTTCGGTTGGATTAAAATTTTGTGCATGAAACAAAAATACGGGCAATATATCGGGATCATAATTATTTGTTGGTGATTGACGATATTCATCAAACAATTGTGATGCTTTTTTTCGACAATCTTGATGACCATATTTACAAGCTAAATTCAAAATCAACGAACGGAAAAGTAGTTGATTCATATTATCATCAGATTTTGCATTCCATCCAACATCATCATAATGTTTGGCAATCAATTTGGTTCGTACCCATCGATCGAAAGCAACACTTTGATCCTGTACAGCCATAAAAACACGTAAATATCCTAACATATCGGCAGCGATTGACCAAACCATATAAGACTTTTCATATTGTAAAAATTCAGCTAAACCCAAACATTGTCGATATGGAAGTCGACCGGAACGTGCCAAATAAAATGCATCCATTAATAAATTGTTTCGATCCAAAGCACTCATCTGGTCTCGAATAATGGATTTACTATTGTTCATTGTTTCAATCCATTGTTTCCATTGTTCTATTGGATAATTAACAATATAAAGCCCTTTTTGATCGACATTGAATTTGATCAAATCATCTGTTTCAATTTTAATGTCATCTCTATACATTTCTTTCGTATCCATGATAATTTTTTGAACATTTCCACTGATATTTGAAAATTTTTGATTAATCAAACGATAAGTAATCGGAATGGACCATAAATATGTTGAAATTGAATTGCTTGAATCTTTGAAAAATCTTTCCTGTACAAATTTCATAGAATTATTCTTATTATCTATCTTGATTGTAATTATGGGAAAACCATCTTTTTGTAGCCAAGTTTGCATGATTTTTTCTACATCTAAATTTTTATCAGCAACATTGGACAATTCATTCCAAAGATCATTGGTTAATGTAGTGGAATAGCTATATTTTTTTATATAATTTTTGATTCCAATACGAAACGTTTCGTCACCGATTAATGATTCCAACATACGAATAATACAAGATCCCTATCAAAATTAAATGAAATTAAAGTCATGAAAATTTAATAAATATTCATACAAACTTTTGAATAAGTGATAGAATCAAAAACTGCTTGAACCGAATTATCATCAGTTACTTTTGTTAGCAATGGATGTGTACTGGGCATCGAATCCGACTCATATACTCTAGCATATTCATTAATTGCAAAAAAATCATGATAATTCCATTTTGTTTCCACATAATCAACAGCTTTGTATTCCATAAATGTTGCAAATCCTTCATTTAACCAAAGATCATCCCACCATTTCATTGTGACAAGATTTCCAAACCACTAATTGAAAAAACAAAATTAAAATAAAATTTTCAAATATTCAAAACTTGAACATTACTTACCATATGTGCTAATTCATGACAGATAATCTGACAGATTCTAGCCTTAGATAATGTACTTGTTTCTTTTGCATCATAGAGAACATATACATCACGATAGGTAACAAGACCCCAATTTTCCATTGCACCCATTGCAAAATCCGGTATAGAAATCATATCCATTTTAGGTAATGGAAAACCAATTTCAAAATATTTTTCGGAATAAAATTCCAATGCTTGAGGACCGACTCTTAATGCATAATCGGTTTTATCAAGATTTATGGCTGGATCAAAAGTGTAGACACTAAAATTTGACAATAATGGACTAGATTTCGATACAAAATCACTGACAACAATGGCAACTAGATAGGTAGACATTTTTACCGAACGTTCAAATACTGTCATTTTCATGTTTTTATCATTTAACGATTGCTGAACATATAATGTAGGCATATTTGAAATGGCTGAATAATTAGAACCATGTTCAATTTGTAATGCAAATGTTGCTTTAAAGTTTGGTTCATCAAAACATGGAAATGCTTTACGTGCATATCCAGCTTGAAATTGTGTTGTAGCTAATTTGACGAATTCACCTGTATCAGAACGTTGATATTGTGATAGATAAAGACCGCTTAATTCTTTACTTAAGTTTCCATTGAATTGAAGTTCAACAATATATGTTTCAGGTAGAATTAATCCCTGCAAAGGAATGACCCAAAATTGATTTGGTCGATATGCAAAATGTGTCATTTGCGTATCGGATATGGATTCTGAATTGTTATTGATGAAAGGAATAGAAACTTCTACACGAGGTTGTTGTTTGGTAAATACAGCCGATGATGTTATGTTCAAATCTTTTGAATGTAAAATCAAATGACGAATCGGACGCTGAATTTCAACTTCAATTCGAACGGAACCTGAAAATTTTTCTTCATTCACCAAAACCGTAAGATTAACATCGTAATGTTTTGGTAGAACAGAATCACCAAGACGCCATTGTTTCCAAGGATTTTCATTTGGACTTTGTTGATTTAATATATTTGAAACATTTTGCTGATTGTTTTCAATCCATTGAATATTTTTACGTATTGTTTCAATAGCTTCATCACGAGCTCCTTGACCAGCACCAGCATCGGGATATTGTTTGAAAAAATCTTGAATTTCTTGCAATCGAGATTCCGAACGAAAACCACTAATTACTGAACGAACATAGGTTCCTAGACGACGATCATTCAAACCAAAACGTTCGATTAGTTTAGGCCAATGATTTCGAATATATTCCCATATCAATAATCTTCCCTGATCACTATTCGATGCGATTGATTGTTGAGCAGAGAAAAAATTTTCATTATTAATTTTTTCCGGATCATCCGAATATGATATTAAAACTGATAAAAGATTTGGATCAGTTGTCGATGTTAGTGCGGACATTATTTTTGATTTTTCGATTGCATCTTTTTCCGATTGATATAAATTCCACATACTTTGCCAATCCGATTCAATTGTACTAGTACGTAAACCATATTTATAAACATAGAATTTTGTATTTGAATCTAATGGTCGTCCATTATCCATCCAATCACGAAATCGTTGATAACATTGTTTAGTACATTTTTCATAACCAACTTTACATGCAATCGAAATCAAAACATTACGTAATGCTATTTCGTCTGGTGCTAGTCGCTCGTCAATAGTTGTTGTCGATGTTGATAAATCAACATTTGTATCAAATAAATTGGCAATAATAGATTTGATAAAATCACGAAATTGTATTAATGTCATTCCACTTTCACCAAGTTTATTGATCAATGATGTTATTGCATTATTAGCCACTGACCATGGAACATAATTTGTTTCCTTTTCAAGATATGTAAATAGATTAAGTAATCGTTCATAGGATAATGCCGATATCTCTGATAAAAGATATGCATCATGTAAAAGATTTGCACGATCACCAACATTGAATGATTTTGGATTTCTTTTCAATTCAGTAATCAATAGATCCCAATCTTCTGGTTGATAGTTTACAATATAATAATCATGACCATCAGGATTTAATTTGATCCAATCTGATGGTGCAAGTTCATTTTCAAGTTCAACGGTCATTTCAGTTTGATTAAAAAGCCAGGCAGATTGTTCTCGTTTTTGTTGAATATATTTAACGTAAATTGGCCGTGGATCATCTTCCGAATCATTTGATGAAGAATTCGATCGATAAATTGATTGTTTTAATTGAAGTTTCATTGTTTTTGTTTGAGATGTTGAACGTTTCGATGTTTGTTGCTTACGTTCAACTGTAACGATTGGAAATCCATTTTGATAAAGCCATTGATTTAGAAATTTTTTACCATTCATTTTGGTTGTTGTTTCAATATCCTGATAAAAGTAACTCATCATTTTTTCTGTATCAACATTTGAATATTGATTTTCCTGAAGTAGATGACGGAAATTTTCAAGAAATTTTTGTCGACTAATAATACTTTCGATCATATAGGCAATCGATGCACCTTTTGAATAGGAAATTGTATCAAATTGAGCTGTAATCTGATTTGGTGTAAGAACATCATTCTTATTCGGAACCAATGGATGTGTTTTGGATAATGAATCAGTTCTAAATGCTGGATGAAGATCATCGATTAAAAATCGATTCCAAATATTCAATGAAGCTTGAAGATGATTTTGACCATAATATTCGATAAATGATGCAAAACCTTCTTGAAGCCAGAGATCATTCCACCAAGTTGCTGTGACTAGATTACCAATCCACTTTTTTTTAAACATAACAAAAGTTGTAAAAGTTAAAAAAATTTTAAATTTTTTTTTTGTAATACTTACCATATGAGCTAATTCATGGGCAATTACTTGTGCTATTTTCCGTTTATCATCAGAACTAGATTCATTGGCATCAAATAATACATATGTTTCTTTATAGGTGACTAGACCCCAATTTTCCATTGCCCCGGATACAAATTCAGGTAAACCGATAAGATCTAATTTGGCCATCGATTGGGAATATGGAATAGCTGTTATATTTTCATAATATGATAAAATGGTTGCTGCCGATTCACAAGCATATGTTGTTTTTTTCACCTGATCTGGTCTTGAATATACACGAACACGTGTACCAAATGTAGTACGTGTTTCCGTATATTCGAAATCATTAACCGAAAATGCAACTAAATATGTAGACATTTTTGGCGTTTGGGCAAATGTTGTTTGACTGAATCCTGGTTCATCAATAATTGATACAGTTTCTGTTTCAATTTGATTTGATAATGCTGTTAATCCGGTTGGATAGATTAACGATATGTTGAATGTAGCTTTAAATGATGGTTCATCAAAACAAGGAAATGCCATACGTGCATATGTTGGTTCAAATTTTGTTGCTGTCATATATCGAATCTCATTTTTAATGGTTGTATATGAGCTACGATAAAATCCAATAATTTGTCCAGTTCGAAAAGTACTGGAATAGAAGATTTGTAATGCATATTCACCTTTGTTCAATGATTCATTCAATTCAAATACACATCGTTCAAGTTTTTGATCGATATGTACATTTTTTATCGTTATCGATGATTCTAATGATGAATTTAATATGTCAAGATTTTTACAATTAAGTACAATTTGATCGATTGAATTGTTAAGAACTTGTAACAAAATACGTACTGATCCATTAAAAAAATTCTGATTTGGATCAGTTCGTATTTGTAGTTGATAATTTATCGGTATAACATTATGATCAAGCAATAGATCATCGGATATTATTGGTTGTTTAGTTGATGTACTAGTCGTTATAGATGGATCTGTTGAATTTGACGATGAGGTCGTTCCAAACGTAGATGAAATCTCCGTCGATGTTGTTGTTGTTGTTGTTGATGACGATTGATCTTTCGATAATTCATTGATTTCTAAATAATCATTTGGAATTGTAATCATATTTTTATTTGATTTCATACTTTTGAAAAACAAAAACAAAATCAAACTTACTATTATGTTCAACAATGTATGCGGCTAAAAAACCAATAAACAAACAGGCCAATATAAAAATGATAAAACCTAATAATAAGGTTTTTGTACGACCAGGTTTTGGCGAAGACGGTGATGACATCGATGCGCTTGCCATTCAAAATTTATTTCCAAAATTATTATTTATTCTTATTTTGAATTTTAAAATGGTGTTTTCAATATGATCAAATGAATATGGATTTCTGTTTTTTTTAAAGAAAATATACAGAAAACAATCAAGTAAAATTAAAGTAACAAATGTTTTCTTTTTTTTCTTTGAATGATTATGAAATCAATCACATCATATTGATTATTATCTATCGATTTTGTATTCAACAAAACAGATTAACTAATTGATTCAACAAAAAAGAATTCTACGATCGTGGAAAAATATTTTTAAATGGCGCCAAAAAAATGATAAACAGGAAAAAAAGTGTGATTTTCTATTTTAACTCAACGTCCTTGTGAGGAAAAAATAGAAATTACCTAAAAAAAAAAAATATTGTTCGAATGGCACACACACAAACAAACGAAAGAAGAGAGAGCGAAAGTTATGAAAAATGTTTTTTAATACATTGTCGTCGTTATATTCGATGATATAACAAGAATCGGATGAGAATAACAAATTGATTCATCGACTTCGTCGTTTGTTTGTTTGTTTGTTTGTTTGAACAACAAATTAATAAAACATTCACGTCAGAAAGTAAGATTGAGAGAGTGGTAGAAGCAACGATTATGTTAAACGAAAAGAAAAAATCTTCGTTACCATCATCGTCAATCATTGATTGAAATGAAATTTAAAAAAAAAAGAATTAACCAGAAGAAAAACGAAAACAAACCACACCGAAAAAAGAAAATCTTCATCATTGTAACATTGCATCTTGATTCTTGAAGAAAAAAAAAATAAAATTCTCATATAAAAATATAGTTAACTTGTTGTCAAAATTTATAGAAAACGACAACAACAACAACAAAAAACATTCACTTTTTGTTGCACTGACTTTAACCGAATCTTCGAATAGACGACAACAGCCGAAAAAACCCTATCCATCAAATGTTATCCAATTCATCCATCATCATCAACATCATCATCATCAACATCAACATCAACATCAACATCATGATGATCAAGAAACATGTTTCATTTTCTTTGATTAATGAAAGCAAAAAAAAAAAAAAATTTAATGAAACATTTTATTTTTGCAATGAATAAATATGATTGACAATTAAAAAAAAGTAACTGGATCATCATCATCATCAACATGAACAACTTCAACTTTATATATGAGTATCATAGAATCTGTCATTCATACATATGGCATAAATAAATTCTCGATGCTTCTAACGAGCACACACTCACACACACACACACATGTTCAACCAAAAATGATTTGTTTTGATTATCATAATATTCTTCATCATCATCATCATCATCACTATGAATGAAATGAAAATTAAAAGTTCAGATTTGACATCTTTAAGTTGATTTTTTTTGACGGATTTTTCTTCTTTTTTTCTTATTGTAGCTTAGTGTTTTAATGAATTGAAATGAAATTTTCGTTAAATATCATCATCATCATCATCACAAAAAAAACGGTACATTCACATTTGATTGCCAATGTTTCATGATTCTTCAAGTGTTTTTTTTTCTCGTTCATAATGATATGATGATGATGATGATGATCAAAACTTGTGATGTTTGATGTATAGTGTAGGACGGATTGTAGGAAGAGAAGAAAAAAAAACTGGTTTATGAAAAAAATTCCACTTTATATTTTTAGGGTCATTTTTTTAAAATCTACCCAGAATTTTGTCAAATAAGCGTCGACGACGACGACAAAGACAAAAATGACAACAACAACGTCAAATCATTAATTCTGGTTGGCATTGATGAAGAATGAATGAATGAATGAATTTGTTTTTCTTCATTTGATTCTCACTTTCTCACGCATACACACACACACAAACACACTAACAAACATTCGGTGGGCATCCACAGATTAAAAAGAGATATCAAAATCGAGAAAATAATAGAAACGAATCATTACAGCAACAATCCTATCAAATAGAGAAAGATCAACTATTATATTAAAATGAATGGAAAAACAAAAAAACAAATTATATTCTTGTCCCAACAGTCATCGAATTCATTAGATTTTTTTTTTTGCAAATCATATGATTACGAACAAAACAATATAATTCATTACCGTTAATCTGAATGGATTATATTGGTTTTTTTTTGGGGAGAGAAAGAAGAAATTACTAAACCAAAATTCTCAATGGACCAGTGTTGTAACATTGTATTAATTGTAGAAAATCATTTCATCAAGCATACATTAATTTTTCTTCTTGGATTTTTTTTGTTTTGCAATCAAAATTGATTGTATTGATTAATGATTTTATCATTATTATCTAGGCAGCAAGTGATTTTTTTTAAAAAAATGTTTCAATTGTTGATTTTAATTAAAAATACATTTTTTTCATTTTTTGAATCTAATTTAAATTTGTTGTTAACATTCTAAATGGAAATAAATCCATCATTTGAATATTTGATGTTACTATGGATGATGATAATGATGATGATCACATTAAATTGATTGAAATCAAAAGGAATTTTGCAATTTTATTTTGAAATAAAAACTGAATAAACAGAGAAAAAATGTACATTTTTGTTCACCTGTTTGATTAGAAATATGAATTTTCATATATATGAAATTGTTGATGTTTGTTTGTTTGTTTGTTTGAAAATTAAACATTTTGATTTTGTAATGAAAACAGATAATTTATATTGCAATATTTTGTTTATTGATCTCTGAAAAAAAACGAAACAAGAACCTTTTTTTTCAACAAAAAAATAACTTGATTTCTGCAGAATATTAGTAAATTCTACCGGGGAAAAAAGGCATTACCAAATTGATTGATTAATCATTTTACATTGGCTACCATTTTGGGATATGGAAGAAAAATTACCTACCGAACAACAACAACAATAGACGATCAATCAATCAATCAATCTCACCTTTGTTTTTTTTTCAATATCGATGATATCCTGATGATGATGATGTTAATTACAACAGCACAACACTACAGAAAAAAAACTTACAAACAAAAATATCAATTGAATTTTCCTCTTCCGAACTTCAAAAACCAAAAAGAAGAAGAGAAAAACTTACGAAAAATTAAAACAAAAAAAAACTTTTCGCAAAATACAAAAAAAAATTTCCCTTCGGTATTTAACTTATATTTGGATCAATTTTTTTTCCTTTTTCCCTTTTTTTTATGATACCAAGTCGAAAACATCATCATCATCATTGATAATAATAATTATTTTATTATTCAAATACAAAAAACTCATAAAAAACGCATTTGATCCAATAGAAAAATTGTTTTTTTCTTTCAAATTTTTTCTTGATGAAAAAATGATAAGTAGCATCATCATCCTGATGATGATGATTATGGCATTTTTTTTATTACATTGAAAAATTTGTAATTAAACCAGAAAAAAATTTACAGATTGGGCGTTACAATCCCGAAAAAAATAATGCTAATAATTTACAAGGTAAAAATTTGTTTTTTCATTTCAATTTTGCAAAGTTTTTGTAAAAAACAAATTTTTATTTCCATTTCGTAAAAATAAAAAAAAAATTACAAAAAGGTCGCTAACCAAGTGATATAAAAAAAAGAAGAAATAAATTTCCTAATAAATTTGATGACAAAAACAACAAAAAAAAATGTCAGTAGCTAAATTTACCAGTCGATACTGGATTGTTATTTTTTCTTTTCTTTTCTTTTCTCACATTTGTGTCTATTATGGATGTTGCGAAAAGAAAAAAAAAGAAAAAAAAGTAAAGTAATTCATATCATCAAATATTGTGATAATTGCCATAGTTGATTGATTGATTGATTGTCTTGGTAATGTTATGTTTATGACAACAACATTTATTAATTATCCTGATATATAATAATAAACATATTTTTTTTGGATAACCATATCATATTCATTTATTTATTATTATTAGATGTAATTTAGTAACACGAAGTAAATTAAACAGCAGCAACTGCAGTGAATGCACCGAAATTTATAAAGAAGTTCCAAAGAGTTGATTTTGCTGATTCGACAATTTTTTTTTCTTGGGAAAAATAAAATTATCAATTCAAGAACGATCGGACCTCGAACAAAGTATGTTGAACTTTTTTTTTCTCTTTTCCTCTGATGATAAATATATTTGGAGATTATAGTTTTAGTTGGTTGTACTTTTCCTTTTTCATCTCAATCAATCAATCAATGATGATGATGATGAGATTAGGAACTGGAATTTGTGATTATGCGATTTGATACTTTGTCTTTTTTTGTTGTTGTTTTTTTTTCTCACTTTTTTATTTATTATCTTTTTTTACTTACTTCCCGTTATCGTAATCAACAACATTATGATGATAAAAATAGCATTTTCTTGTCTGACATCATTTAAAAAAAACGGTGCATTCCCAATTTGATTGCTAATGTTTCATGATTCTTCAAGTGTGTGTGTGTGTGTGTGTTAACTTTGACGAAAATCATATAGATCAAATAAAATAATATTTGTTTTTTTTTATTCAATCAAATCAAACACTATCGATTGATGATTATGGCAAAAACAACAACACCACCAACAGCAACAACGACATCAACAACAAAATTGAATACTAACGAAAATAAAATGATGAAAAAATCGAAGAAAAATATTGTTATCATTTCATTGAATGCTGTTGGACATGTAAATGGTTGTCGTGGTGCATGTATTGAAAGTTTAATTGGCCGTGGTCATAATGTTTATTTTTTATTGGAAAAAGCATTCGAAGGTCAATTAAGACCATTTGGTTTTAAAGAAATTATTTATGATATTTCTAATGATCAAAATGAACCAGCAAAAAAACCTGGTGAACAATTAGCCAATGAATTATTATCATATAGAATGTTGGGAAAAATGACTATCGAAGAAAAACTTCAACAAATGATAAATTATTTTGCTAAATCACATACATTTCTTTGCTATTATCAACAGGTAGATATTTGTTTAAAACGATTAATGAATGAAATGAAAATCGATTTATTTATAATCGATGATTGTCATATACATCCTGCCATCTATTATTCAAAAATACCTGTAATTAAATGTATTACATCGGCACCATTTATCTTTTTTGCACAAGATCCGGCAATACCACCACCATTTACCGGTTAGTAGAAATTTTTTTTGTTTCACACTGTAATAACAAAATATTCGTCTTTCATCGAATGAATTTTTTTCATAGGAATAGCATCTAATGCTGATCCGGAAACATTGCATAAATATCGTGAAATAGTGTTAGGTGTATTGAAAAAGAATGCATTCGCTGATCATATTGTAAAACTTGGTTATGAAAAATATCCAGATGATCCATGTGAAATTGAAAAACGATATGCTTTTTATGTTTATGCTTATCCAAAAGAATTAAATCATTGGAAAATTGAATCAACATATCCAAGATGGTTTAATTTGGATGTATTTAATCGAAATGTACAAAATGAAACAATTGATTTGGAAAAATTAGTTGGCAAGGATTTTTTTCATGATGATCTTGATGGAAAATTCAGTGGAAAATGGATTTATGTTTCGATGGGATCAATGGGATCAGTTGATTTAGAATTAATGCAACGTTTAACTTCGATTCTAGCCAAATCCGATCATAAATACATTGTTTCAAAAGGACCAAGACATGATGAATATGAATTAACAGGAAAAAATATGTGGGGCGCAAGATTCATTCCACAAGTTAAAATTTTACCATTAGTCGATTTGGTCATTACACATGGCGGAAATAATACAGTAACTGAAACATTTGCCCAAGGAAAACCAATGATTGTTATGCCATTATTTTGTGATCAATCAGATAATGGTCAACGATTATTGGAAACAGGTTTTGGTGCATGTTTTGAACCATATGATTTTGAAGAACAACAGCTTTTATCAACCATTGATCGTTTATTGACAGATGAAAAATTATCTGATAGATTACGTCGTGCATCAGAAAGAATTAAAAAATCTAATGCACATCAATTATTTGGTGAAAAAGTTGAACAATTTTTGAATGATTATTGAAATAAATTATTTGTTTTATTGATAAATTCACAAATATATTAATATATTCATCGAAAGAAAGTTTATTTTTTAATTTAATTATCATCTTCATGATGATGTTCATGGTGGTTTTCTTCATGATGATGTTCATGATGGTCTTCATCGTGATGATGTTCATCATGATGATGATGACGATGATGAACACGTTCCAATAAGTGTTTCAACGAATCTTCATGTCGTTTCAATGCTTCTTCTTCACGTTGGAAATCATGTCCTTCTGGTCGTTTACGAATTTCTTCCAATAAATGATGGACAGCATGCATTTCATGTTCAATGGCTTCCAATTCTCTATCACCATGATGACGATGTTTTTCAACGACATCTTGTGCTTGACGCAATAATTCTTCACCACGTCGGATCAATTCTTCACCACCATGATGTTCATGGTGTCGTTCATGCATCAAAATGGCAATCTCTTCACTGACACGATTTTCAAAATGTAATAAATCTTCTTCGATCAAATGTAAATGATGTAATTCCATAACATTTTCAACTTTATGTTGAGATTCTAAATCTTTGACCAATGCTTCAACCAAAACGGCTTGATGTTGAATAGCATCCAATAAATGTTCATTACCATGATGTTTTTCCATTGTTTCTCGAATCAAATGTAACAATGCATGACCACGTTTAATGAGATCTTCGGCCATACGATGACGTTCTTCATGATCATGTTCATGATGATCATGATGATCATGTTCATGGTGATCATGGTGATCAGATTGAGCTATTGAGAAAACGATAAAACAACAACAGCAGCATATAATTAATGTTCAAACATTAATTAAAATAATTGTGTAAACTTACCCAAAGTTACGGCTACCATCATACAGACAACGATAAAAATTTTCATTTTTGAGATAGTTTTTTTTCTTGGTTGGAAATCTTAATGGTAAACAACAACAAAAAAAATGAGAATGATTCTGAAATTTTATTTTTGTCCTACTTTTATAGTGAAACAAAAAAATCCTTTATTAGAACAAATCAATCGACTTTTAATTATCGATCTGTGTGGTTGACGTAATTTTTTTTTTTGCAAATTTTATTATCAATTAATATTATAATGATGATAAAGGTTTTGAAAACAATTGTTTTTAAATAATAATTTCAAGAAGAATGATCCCGGATCAAATTATCTTGTGATAAATTATTTTAATCAATCAATCAATCTATCACACTTTTTTGTAATGATAATGTCACATGATTTAAATTTTTTTTTAAATTAAATTAATTAACAATCAAAATGAGGGTAAATCATAATCAATTATGATGATTATTATTATTATCATTATTAATAGTTAAATTATTTGAATTTGAATGAAAACCACGCATAAATCGTATAAACCATAAATGATTACGTGAACAACGAATATGAAATGATGATCTTGATTGTATTGATTCAATTATAAATCTACAAATAGCAATAATTGAAATACCAAGCCAAATATGTGCATGTCCACCAATATTACCTAAAAATGATGAAGTGGTAAATTTTTCACGATGTTCAATATAAGCAACAGGTTCGGTAGACCATTCAATTCGTATTAATGAATCATTTTTATATAAATTCATATCTAGATTATAGCTTGTATCGATCCAAAATGTTTCTGAAAAACATTCTGTTGGACAATTTTCCAAACATTTACGTTTAATTTGACCATATTGTTGAAAGCTATCATTAATACTACAGAATTTAATATGAGTATATCTTATCAATGCATCGGTAATATTATCCATAATTTTCCAACGATTTTTCCATTGTTCATTGATTTCATTCATATCTCGTTGTAACAAATCAAATGTACGACATTGTGTTTCCATTGAAAATAAATGGCCAGTAAATATTGTATAGAAATTTAAACATTGTTCATTATGGCCTAAATATCGCCACATACAATAAAGAAAACATTCACCACGTGAACGAAATAATTTCAAATCTTTTTGTTCAATTTGGCCATGTTCACGAAATACTTTTTGTTGTTGATCATCCGGTGTTATATTCACTAAACGATTATAATCAAAACATTTTGTACGATATGGTCGTGGTTTACGTTTTTCAGTCATTTTTATAAATTGAATCTGTGTATATTTACGTGGAAATATACGATGATATGAAAGGCTTAACATATCGGCTAATATTGTTGGTGAATGTAATACAATAAAAATACCAATTGTTTCACCAATTTCCGAATTATCAAATAATGAATTTGAATGCCATTGATCTTGACCATTAGCTACCGATTGAAGATATTTACCTTTTATATTTATTTCTAAAAATGGAAATTGATCAAAATCCATCATAATTGGAAGATTTTCTTTTGTATTATCCTGTCCATAATTATCATTATATAAACGTGAAATATCACCAAATATATCACTGAAAAATGTAAAACATTTATGTCCTTCTTGCATACTAACAACTACAGGTGCCAAATCTGAACAATTAAAAAATTTTGATTTGGTTTTTTCATTCAAATCTAATGCATTCGGATAGAATCGACAATAATTTATAAAATCTGTTAAATTTAATGAAAGTGCTTCATCATCTTTATCATTTTTATCATCTTTATCATCATTTTCATAATCATAATCCAAAATATAATCATCATCGATATTATTTTCGATTGCTTTATATACAAGCATTTTATTCTTTTTCGATTGATTATTGCTGTTTAGATCAAGAAAAAAAAAGGATTAGTTATTTCAGAATTATGCGTAAAATATAATAAAAGAATTCAATCATTTCAAACAAACTTACCTATATCGACAATAAATACAATGTGTACAGAATGTTATACCTGGTGGTCGTGTATGTTTCGGTGTACGATATTCCATATAAACAATTGTATCGAATGTTAAAAAATCCGAAAATACTGTTATAAAATTAATCCAAAACCAAACAATACATATTAATATGAATATAAAACGTGCAATACTATCCGAACGAAAATAATGTAATAATGCAAGACGTAAACGTTGACGACGATTAAATTTACGTTGAAATTGTTCAGAATTTATAGCTAATCGTCGTCGTAGATTACGTGAATCATCTAAATTATTATTATTATTATTATCTGATGATGATAATATTTCTTCATTGGTTATAAGTTCATTACGTGAATGATATATACGAAATATATCATCATCTTCAGCTGATGGCATTCTTTCGATCGTATAAATATTTTGCGACATTTTTTTTTTAAATTTTGAAAAACAAAATTACAATCAAAAATTCAATTTTACAATCAAATAGAATTTGAATAAATGCAAATGAAATTATTTATTCTATCGATCCAGATTTATATTGATTGTAATCATCCATTTTAACCATCTGTTACATAAAAAATATTATATTATTTTCTTTCCATAGAAACAAATTGAATTTCAATTTACATTTGTAAATAATGGATTGGTAATGTAAATATCGAAAAATATAATGACATTGACATTAACTTGGCAAAAATAGAAATTCTCAACAACAACAAAACAAACAAATTATGAGAAAACAATCATTGAAGGAACGAATATTCAAAAATTTTTAAAAATCAGGTTTTTTTTTGTATCCCTTTTAACCCAATAAATCAAATTTATTTCAATGCTATTCATTCATTTATTCCCCACCATCCAATTCACAGATTTGAAAGAAAGGCAATTGAAAATTCCATTTTTTTCAGATGATATAACTGTAGAAGTAAATACAAAGGGAGAAAGAGAAAAACAAACACATTAATCTTATTGTCATTACCATAATTGGCATCTTGTTTTTTTTTCTGTTTCCCACATCTTGTATAATTAAAACAAAAAAAAATTGATTAAAACAATTTCAATTGACTTTTTGAATTGATTTATAATCAATTTTTTCGGAATAAAGACATATGATTAATTATACAATAACAACAATGACGGCATTAACCGATAAAGAAAAAAAAAGAGAACCTACACACACTTACACAAGAAACAAAACAAAAAAATCATTTACATTGAAAAGCAATCAACAACAAAAAAAAACACGTTCTTTGATGCATTTGAAATTCAAAATAGAAAAAAATTTTAAAAATTCATGAACATTTGAATCCAAAAAAATCAAAATGGAAAATGAATTTCATTTAAAATTATTATTATTATTATTATTATTCTCATTTCAAAAAGATTTGAAAATTTGATTTGATGTTTGTTTTTATTTTTCTTTGTTTTTATCAAGAAATTTTTTTTCCATTTACATCTCATCGTTTTCTTTCTTTTATTTTTCTTTGCAGCCATAGAAAGTGATTGAAAATCAAGTATTAGATTTGTTATTAACCAGAAAAATCCAATATTTACTAATCACATTATCCATCAATCAACCAGAAAAATAAATGATAATGATTTATAGTCGATGACAACCACAATGTTATATCGATATTAGCAAAAGATAAAGTCAAAAAAAAAAATCTTGCCATAATAGAAGAAGCCTTGATTAACGGGTTTTTTCTGTTGATCGATCAAATCCGAAAAACAAAAACAAAACAAATAAGCTCGTGTGTGTTTGATTTAAAACAAAATCAAGTTTTCATTTGTTTTTGTTTTCATTCAAAAAAACAAACAAACAAACAAACAAAATCAATCGATGGTCAGACATTTAATCGTATGATTCTGCGATGATGAATTCATGTGATCAATCGTTTATTGTTTATCGGTGAATAATTACCGTTATTTCTTTTCATAAAAATCATACCAACATCGATCACATCCATTCACTATCATTCAATCAATCAATCATTTGAAGAAGTTTAATTTTTTTTTTTCTTCATCATTTTCAATTATCAAGTGTCATATGCGTGTATGTTTGTAGATTGTTCATTTAATTTATTATATTGATTTGATTAACAAATGAATAAAATTTGGTGCATTTGTTCTTTTTTTTATAATCGAGAAAAAAAATTAATCAAATTTTGTAACAACAACAAGAAAAAAAATCGGTTACAATGTACATATAATCAATACCGATAAATATTGATCGACAATTATATATTTTTGAATCAAACGAGAGAAAAAAAAAATGGATCAACCATCAATATTGTTTCGAATATTAAATTCTATTATGATTTCAATAAATTATTGTCGTCAATGAATAATATTAATCGAAAAAAAAAACAAATGATAATCGTCAAACAAATTGTTGTCGTTATTGGTTACCAGATAAACAGAATTCATTAGTTATTTTTTTTGTATTATTTTATTTATCATTGAGAATTTGCCGAAAATATTTCCGAAGAAAATATAACCACAAAAATATAAATTCATTGATTTTGATTTGTGAAATTCGTTTCAATAAAATAAACACAATTTAATAAAGAAAATTTGTTTAAATTAAACAATTGAAAATCAATTAGGAATGGCTAATCAATAATATGGTCAATAATGATTGATTAATTGACCTTATTAACTTATCGAACTAATTAATTAATTAAAATTTTCTAATTGTTCAGCTAATAGATTTGAATTTGAAACAACTAAAAATGTTAGACGAAATATTAATATCGTTTGATTTTCATCAAAATGTTTTCGATTCATTGATAAAACATTAGTCGAATTAAAATAATATCGAGAGAGAAAAAGAGAGAAAGAGAATAAAATAATTATGAAAAAATTTATTACATTAACATCATCATCAACATTAACACCAACATCCTCATCATCATCATCATCATCGTCAACACCAACATTACCATTGAAAAAAATAAAATCCAATTCATCAAGATGTTATTATTTTGACATAATTTTAATGGCCATATCAGTGTTTGGAATTTTACTTTTATCAATATTTTATTATTCAACATGGACTGTAAATTATAAAGTCAGTATTTGATTTTTTCTTACTTTTTGTCTGTGATAATCAACAGAATAATTTTTGTCAAAAAACAAAATTTTTTTTTGAATAGTATTCGATTGCCATCGATTCTGGTTCAACACATAGCCGTGTTATATTGTTTAGATGGAAAGCTGATAAATTAAATAATACCGGATTGATTGAAGAGATTAATTCCTGTAAAATTAATCAAGGAATTGCATCATATGTTAATAATGATGATAATAAAGTGGTTGATGATATTTTCAAATGTATACAAAATATAACGGTCGATTTGAAGATTAAAAATGAAAGTCTATATGTATATTTAGCAGCAACAGCTGGTATGAGATTATTATATCTAACCGACCAGAATTTAGCAACCAAAATACTTGATCAAATACGAAATGAATTTCAAAAATCAGGTATGATTGTAAAACGAATATCTATTATCACTGGCCAAGAAGAAGGAATGTTTGCCTGGATTGCAGCCAATTATCTTTCCGGAACATTGTTTTCAAATAAATCGATCGGAATATTGGATATGGGTGGTGCATCAGCACAGATTGCTCGTGCTATACGATCGAAAGATAAACAGAATGATGATGATGATGAAAATTATAAACAAATTCGTTTATTTGGAAATGAATATTTAATTCATACATTTAGTAATCTTTGTTTTGGTTCTGAACAAGCATTATATCGTTATATTCGTTTATTAATCTCAAGACATACGGATAAAAATAATACAATTAATGTTGCTTGTTTTCCACGCGGTTATCAAACATCATCAACAAAATATCCTATAAATAATAATGTCTGTACAGAAATGAAATCAGAATCAGCAAATACTAATAATAAACATAATGAATATGATTTAATCGGTACTGGACAAATAGAACAATGTCAAAAGGATATTGATTGGTTATTGAATCGACAAAAATGTGAAGAAAATTTTAAAATCTGTTTTAAAAATATTACCATTGAATCAAATGATGATTATAATAATCAACAAATGAATCTATTTTATGCTATATCAACATATTATTATGAAACAAAAGTATTAGGATTTGAAAAATTAGAAAACATATCACGACAACAGTATTTAAATGAATATAAACGATTGTGTACAAAAACATTTGATGAATTGAATAATGAACTTCGTATTGATATTAAATATACATCAAATAAGTGTTTTAAATTACCATTTATAATCAGGTAATAATCAATTTGTTCATCAATTTTTTTGAATTTTTTTTATTATCATTCATTCATTCATTTATTTTTCTTTTGCTATTCAGCACATTAACCAACATTTATAAATTCAATGATAAAACATGGCCTCTATTAAAATTTGCCCATGATGTAAACAAAACTTATCTTGGTTGGATAACTGGTATGATGATCAATGAATCTAATGAGATTGCAAGCGAACAGCCAATAATTTATTTTATTTCTAATGTAATCTATTGGGCAATGATAATCACATTCATCATGATATTCATTATCAGTGTTATAATTGTTTATAATTTGAAAATTCATCGAAAAATTGGCAAACAGAAACGAGTAGTACATAATACATTCGTTTGATTGAAACATTAAAAAAATATGGCGCGTTTAGTCAAAAATTTAAAAAAAGAAAAATACTAAATCTCGAAACATTGTTTATGAATTGACCAAACAAAACCACGTGTTTGAAACACACGCACGCGTTGTTGACGAAACAAATCATCATCTGTGTTGATAATTTTAAAGATTCTTTTAGATTTTGACAGAATTTAATTTCAATTTTTAAATCATCCATTTTTAATAAACTAATTTATTGTAATTTAAAGTTGAATTTTTATTGTGTTATTAGTGTGTGTGTGAAAACAGAATGCCACTCAAGGAGGAAAATTTTCCTCGATCAAAGCCATCGAAACATCCAACGTCCATCGTTCCAGCATATCAACCATCAATTGCTGAAGATGAACAATTGTTCAAAAGTAAGATCATTACAGTGTTATATTTTCTAATTATTTTCTATATTTGATTAGGCAGGAAAAGGAAAACAGAATCTAAACCAGTCCAGCCAAAGAAACGATCTAAAAAAACTGTGAAAAGACATGAAACAAATGAACAGAATCAAGAAAATCTCAAAAAGACGGTGATTGAAAATTTAACATTGAGTCGTTTGATTGAAAATACGGTTATACTTGGTTGCATTCAAGAGATTACCGATTTTGAATTGAAATTTTCTATCACAGGTGGAATCGATGTTACCGTTCCCATAACAAATATTTCGACATCTTACAGCCAATTGATTGAAAGTTTTGCTAACAATGAAAATGAAGATAGTGTAGAGATTGCCAAATTGGCTTCATTATTTAATTTGGGGCAATATTTTCCCATTCGAATTCTGTCCAAAAGAATTTGTGATAAATTTGGCCATGCTGAAGTTATCGGTTCAATTAATCCGAAAGATGTTTATCATAATTTTACTTCCAGGACTTTTCAAAAATTACCATCCGGATATAATTTAATTGCGGCCGTTCTAAGCAAAGAAGATCATGGCTACTTAATGGATATTGGTATTGAAGATTTAAAAGCATTTTTACCTAATGAAGATCTTGAACAGAATAATTTCACTACACTTAATATTGGCCAAGTAATTCATTGTTCAGTATCGACCGTCAACGAACGAAGTCTTACACTGACTACTGATCAAACAAAGGGAAAAAAATTCTGCATTGAAGATGATCATCAGCCGGGCATTCTTTTTTATTCTCCGGGAATCAATACGAATGCAATAATTACCGAAACTTTTAATCATGGAATTGAATTAGGATTGCCCGGAGGTTATAAAGGTTTTGTACCTCGATTTCACGTTAGCGATGATCTTTCTGTGATGCCAAAACAATTAAAAATCGGTGATACCGTTCAAGGCCATGTAATGTACGTACATCCACATACCAAACAAGTTTGCGTTTCACTTAAATCTAAAATGAAAATGAAAAAAATTAAAAATCTTATCGATTCAATACGAATCGGATCGATTATCGATAATGCTATCGTTTGTTCTCGATCTCAAAATGGTGGAGTAATATTTCGATTACCGGGTAATAATTATTCAATTGCATTAAAAAAGAATCTTTTTGAACCAAATGAATTTGATGAAAATAATTATGATCGTTTATATCGATCGGGTTCATCACATCGTGTACGAGTTAAAAAATTTCATCTTATCGATAATCTTATTGAAATTTCATTACGAAAATCATTTATTGATCGTAAAGATTTAACAATCGATGATATTGATATTGGTACAATTGTAGAAGGTGTTGTAAAAAAATATCGACCAGATGGTGTTTATGTAAAACTTGGTTTCGGTATCAATGGCTTTATACCGAATATTCATCTAACTGATACACCAACATTGAATTGGGAAAAAATTCGTACACAATTTTTTCCATTGAAAAAACAAGTTCAATGTAGAGTATTGAAATTGGATCAAACAACACGAATACCGAAAATAGCATTAACAGCGAAAAAAACTTTAATTAAAATGAATGATGAAGAAATGTTTAAAGATTTTGATAAAATAACCGCACGAATGTCATCAACAGGTGTTGTTTGTTTAATCACTGATAAAGGAATATTATTAGAATTTTTTAATCGTGTTCGTGGTTTTATACCAACCAAATTTCTTGCAACATATAAAATTGAATATCCGGATAAAGTTTTTCGCCTTGGACAATTGATAAAATGTACGGTTATTTCAGTTAATCCTACAGATCAACATATGGTCTGTTCATTGATCGATATTGATGAAACGAAAAAATTAAAAATGAATCTACAGATTAAAACAAAAAATGATACATATAATTCTAAATTGAAAGTAGGACAAATCTTAAAACGAATGCGAATAATTTCTAAAACACCAATGAAAGGTTTTGATTTGACCGATGTACAGGAAAAAATTCAAGTTTTCTTACCGATGGCTCATCTATCCGATGATACATACATTAGTCGTATATTGTTTGGAACATATAAAATCGGTGATATTATCGATGAATTGATGGTATTTTCCAAAGATTCAGCTAATGTTGTTTGTGTTACGATGAAGCCAATTTTCCTGAATCAAAACTATCCATTGATTATGAATGAACAAGATGTACAACTAAAATCACCATTTCCTGCAATTGTTCGTAATGTAACACCTACTGGTGTATTTTTCGAAACGACTAATGCACAATATGGTGTGGTAAGAAAAAAATTCCTTCAAGATGGTTTTATTGAAGAACCAAAAAAACTTGATCTTTGTCGTGGTCAGACAATATTTGTCAATGCAATTGATGTATCATCATATGAATTAACTGAATCAAATGATAATTATCTTAAACGTTTTAAATTTTCGATGAGACTTTCTGATGTTTGGAATAAAGATTCCAATGAAAGTATTGAAATATTTAAATCTTATCTTAAGCAAATGGAATGTATTCGAACATCGATGAAAAATATGGCCGAAAATGAATCGATTCGATTGTTGTCATCCTATTCGATTGGTGAAATTATCACATTCATCATCACAGAAATCAATGATGATCATATTAAAATGGATTGTAGTCGAACTGGTAATAAACATGAACCAACTGTAGCTGGTATAGCTATGAAACATGAAAGTTTCGCCGATCTAACTATTTCACAGATGGGAATGGCTATTGTTTGTGATATTGATTTTGATCGAAAAAATCTTATTTTATTCATACAATCCAGTCCGGGAAAATTGATACGTCAGGTTAAAAATTTTCAACGTTCAAATTTAGCAAAAATTAAGCCAAATCAAACAATAAAAGGAACAGTTATTCATGTTAATCCAAAATATATTTTAACCATACTTGGTGGTCATTTACCTGGATTGATTGCCTATGTACCAGCACGAAAACATTACAATGACCTAAGACATGTAGAAAAATTATTTACAATCAATTATAGTTATCAATTTATGATTAAACATTTCGATTATAATGATAATCATATCGAAATATTGGTATCACTTCATGATCAGACGAAAAAACCAAATGAAGTTCATAAAGAATCTTTGAAAAAATCTATCACTCAATCAATCAATAAATCGGATGAAATTAATGAAAATACCGAAGCAGTAAAAAACAAAAGTAAAAATCCTGAAAAGCATATCGAAAATTCAACAACTACAATCGATCGATTTGATTGGAATGTATTGGATTTATCGAAATTGACAAATAAACGAAAATTTGAAGAATTACAAACAAAATCTGTTGATGATTTTGATTTCGATATTGAAAATGATTCTGATGATGAATCAAATAATGAATTGAATAGTAAAAAACATCGAAACCGTGATGAACGAAATGAAGAGGCAAGAAAACGTGAAATAATGTTACGAGAAAAAGAACAACAATTAACCGATTTGGATCGAAAACCAAAAGATGAACAAGATTTTGAAATGGCCATTGTTGCCAAACCAAATAGTTCATATATATGGATCGAATATATGGCATTTATGGTCGAACGTAAAGAAATTGAAAAAGCAAAAGAAATTGGTGAACGTGCATTGAAAAAGATTTCATTCAGGTATGTTTTTATGATATTTTTTTTTTAAAAACAATTTTTAATTTGTTATAATCAATTAGAGAGGAAAAAGAAAAACTCAATATATGGACAAGTTTATTGAATTTAGAAAATCAATATGGTGATGAACGTTCAATGCAAGAATTGATTGAAAAAGCTGTTAAATTTAATGATGCTAAAACAATTTATAATCGTGTGGCAATCATCTATGATGAAAGTGATCATAAAGATAAAGCTGAAATGATTTATAATTTTATGATCAAAAAATTTTATTCAGATATTTCTACTTGGATTTCATTCTTATTGTTTTATATGAAAAATAATCAAATTGAAAAAGGAAGAAAATTATTTGTTAAAGCTTTGGCTTCGATCGAAAAACGACAACATATTGATTTAATATCAAAATTTGCACAATTTGAATTCTGTTATGGTGATTATGAGAATGGTAAAACATTATTTGAAAAATTATTGGCACTTTATTGGGAACGATTAGATAAATGGTCAATATATATCGATATGCTTATCAAATATACATTGAAAGATGATGATGATGACGATCACCGTAATGATTCAATCGAATTTATTCGCAATATTTTTGAACGTTTATTAACATTTAAATTTTCACCACATAAAATGCGTTTTATATTTAAAAAATATTATGATTTTGAAATGAAATATTCATGTAATAATGATGATGATCTATTGGAACGTTTAAAACAGAAAGCGGCCGAATATGTTGAACATGGCAAAATTGTTTCAAATTAAAATTGCTTGTTTTTTTTTGTTCATTGTTTGATTGTCAAATTATTATTTTTTTTCAATTGAAAATTTTCGAAAAATAAATTTTAGTTTCAGCTGCTGTCCGTCGTATCTTTTCATGTTTGTTATTTTGTTTTTTCAGAAAAAAATTGTTGTTGTTTTTTTTCAATTAGCTATTCATTGATTTGTATGAGATTTACATAGATGATTTTTACAAACAATCATCGTAGTCGTCTTCGTCAATCGACCATTGTCGTCGTCGTCGTCGTGGTCGTCGCGCGCGCGAACATTTTTTGTTTCATTGATTTTAAAATAGAAATCAATGATGAGAGGATGGTGTTTTTCACAGCACGAAATCTTTCTTTTTTTCGTTAATTTCTTGTTCACCAAAAAATACAAACGAAAATCAAAACTATCCGTCAGAAAACTAAGTGAAAAACAAACGATCCTCAATTGATATTCATTTTTTTTTGGCAAAGTTGAAAAAAATATTCAAATTTTTTTCCACTTTGTTTTAATTGAAATTTTTTTTTCGGATTCTAATTAAGTGAATTTGACTAGAATTTTGAACCTTGTACCTTTGATGATGATGATGATGGCACGAGCTAAAAAATTTACCCACAATTATCACACTGTTATGATATTTGTTTGTTTGTTTTTGTTATTCAAATTGCTAACTGTGTTTGATTGAACATTTTGTTTTTCTATAATAATATCAAAAACAGCAGCCCAGCAATCAATCAATCAATCAATCAATTATCGATTTATGAAAAGAATTTCATTTTTTTTACTGCTGCTGCTGATAAAGTTCATCATCATCGATTGGAATGTAAATAATATTTTTTTTTTTGGCTCGTGTTTCGAAATTATCATTATCATCCTCATGTTTTTTTTGCTATCTATTTTTGTTACCGAACAGTGTCAAGATGATGATTTTTCTCTCAAGTTGTTGTTTGACATTTGTAATTTATTTATTTTTTTTTTTAGTTTGATGAATATTGATCGATCAACAACAACAACAACAAGTATGAATCGAAACAAAACATCTATTATTAGCTACTACAAGATATTATCATAGATGCAATGCCGGATACAAGTCATCATCATTATCATATGAAGAAGCTATAATTGATAATTACAATGATTATGATAATCAAATCGTGTTTTTTTTTTTGACAAGAAAAACAAAGTTTATGATTATTATCATCATCATCATCAGACAAACAAAACAAAACGAGAGTGAGTGAGAGAGATAGATAGATAGAGAAACATCTGTAATAATATTGATATTTTTTCAATTCAATAAATATCATTTCATCATTTTGTTTTCATTGGATAATAGGTGATAATGATGATGATGATAATTATAAATTGAATGATTACAATTACAAATGAGTTCCGCATACCGGACATTCTTCATTCTTCTTTTTCACTATATTCAGTTAGGAAATATACTGTGAGAGCAAAATGCAAAATTTTTACAAAATAATCAGTTTGGTTGTTATTGTTGTTGTTGTTGTAATTGTATTTATTGAAATATTTCTCTTTAAATAAAAAAAATGTCACATGTCACCGGATTTCATTATAATTGTAATCATCATTATTATTTATCCATTTAAAAGAAAAAATGAAAGGAATTTATTTTCAATGACTATTATTATGTCTATGCATTTGGTTATATGCATTTGTTTATCGTTAAAGATAGAAATAGAAATTAAAAGAAAACTGTCACATTAACATTATATTTTTAATTATTATGATAATGATAATGATGATTAACTCATTGAATGTATATTTTTTTTAAAAAAATGTATATGCAATTATCCATTATAATCAAATTAGATAATTTTGGATTTTTTCATTTGTTGTTTTTGTTTTTGTTTGGTTTTTTTTCTGATTATAATCCTGATGATAAATAAGTGTCCAATGTCTTTTTTTTCAATGATTTCTAATAAATTATTTTCAATAAAAAAAGAGCAAGTGATTTCCGATTGAAATCTCCTGGATTGAAATCTCAAAAAAATGTACTTTTTTATTATTATTATTATTAAAAAGTTTTTGAAGAATTTTGTGACAATCCAAAACAGAGAAAACAAAAATATCAACAAAAAAAAAAACAAACGAAGGAAATCCATATTGATTGATTTATGCCGAAAGATTGATATTTAAAGTCTAAAGGTTCGGGAAATGATGAGGTGAGGCCCAAAAACAAAAACAAAAAAAAAGTACAATGTTCCATCGATCATTGAAAGAAAAAGGTTTGCAATCAATAAATCAATCAATCGCGATGAAAATGATGCTGTTTTCGTCATCATCAATGTTATGATTGTCTGCCAAATTGTCACACATTTTTTTTGTTGTTTGTATTTATTGATCTTAAGTTCAGAATTCAATCAATCAAATCAAATTAAATTAATTTTTAACACGTATATCGATGACGTCAATTTGAGTATTTTCCATCTCTCTGTCAACAACATAACAATAATATCAACAATTTTCAATTCAAAAATGATGATTGCATCCAAATTTTTGTTTTCTTTTTACGAAAACAAAAATAAATCCAACAATTTTTTTTAGTGCTAGAGATAAACATGACATCATCAAATAATAATAATAAAGAACAATAAATGGAAAATTGGATTTTGATTTCTATTTCGATCAAAATGGAACACACATTTGGATTCGGACACATTTTTGTTTGTCTGTTTTGTTTTGTTTTGTTTGTAAAAACATTCTGATAAAATCTGTCATCATCACCATTATATTAAACTGTCAATTGATATTTTTCAACAACGACATTGTCCAGTATACTAAGAAATGAAGCAAAAAAATGGAGAAAAAATGATGAACGAATGGTCAATTTATTCATTCAGAAAATTTTTATTTTTGTTTTGTTCTACAATTATCATCACACAAACACATCTGCTTCATTCATATAATGGCAATAAGTGTTTGACCAGTGTGTTCGGGCAATTTGCACCTAAAAAAATTTGATGGACACGTTTACCGACCATCAAATTTATGATGAATGAGGACATCACCATCCACTTCACTTATGGATCGAATAAAATAAAATAAACACAGAAAAAGAGAGATGACCGGTATAATTGTTTCGGGATAATCTTGTTGTTGTGTTAGTGTTTGTTCGACCATGTTATTTTTTTTCATTCAAATCAAATTTGATTTCAATATTTTGTTGTTGTTTTGCTCTTTGACTGATTGACTGATTGAATTACCGAATGACCGACTGACTGACTGACTGACTGACTGACTGAAAAATTTGTAAATTTTTTTTTCTTTTTCAACAAGATTATTGTTGTTGTTGTTGTGCAAACAAAACACGTTTTAATGACACATTCGAAAATCGAATCAATCGAATGAATTAATTTAATACAAAAAAAAAACAATTGATGATCTGATTGAAAGCAAGCTGTTGTTACATTTCGATTAATTTTCTTCTTTGAACCAAAACAAAATAGAAAAATTGTAACGATGTCTTATTGGGGATCTTTTTCTTTCCGAGAGAAAAAAAAAACGAGAAAATTCCATTGTTTTTTTCTTTTTCATCATTTTTCATTATGAAAGATTAAAGATTTAACAATTAGTTGAACAACAACAAAAACAAAAATCTCTAGGACATACCATACTAATTAAGTCAATAATTATGTCAATTAATTATATGCAATGAAATGTTTGGGTGTAAATAGTAGAAACAAAAAAAATGAAGAAGAAGAAGCCCAAATCCAAAATTCACCTTTGGGTCAACACAAAATGATAATAAATTGTTCTAGTTCTAAAACTAGTAATTAAACACAACAACAATTAACCATTGTCAGTCAACCAACAGCATCAAATAATCTTTCTTTGAAAAAACCATATATTCATTGACCTTCAAAAAATTTCTTTAAAATCAAAAATCAAAAATTCTTGTCTTGGATTTTTTTCCAAGCCATAGAAAAAAGCCCATTCACCAAACACACAGGTACACACACAAAACAGGGTCATTTTACAGTGAATATTATTATTATTATATACCACACTTTGGTGCTCATTGTTAGTACATCATCATCATCACAGGTAAGTATAAGTTGATATATCAGTATCACCCATAACCGATAATTTGTTCATTTAAAAGTTGAAAGAAAAAAAGAAAATTCATAATATTAATATTTTTCCATAATTTTTTTAACCAGTTGCTTGCTTGCTTTCTTTTTCGGTTAAACATTCGTCGGCATTTTGGATTTATTTCAAAGATTTTTTTTTCTTAATGATTACAGGGGTTTACAGGTATTATTTTTTTGTTCTCCTGTTTGCTGGTTATAAATTTGATAGGCGGATTCTTTTTCTTTTCCATTTTTTTAATTCGGCCAAAATCTTTTGATCTTTTTGCTTTACATCAATGTTATTATTATATGTAGAATCTTATTCAAGATGTAACAGGAATTTTTTTCCATTGAAGAAGGAGAAGAAGAATGAAGAAATTTCTCAATCCAGCCAGCCAAACAGAATACATTTCTATTTTTATCAAATAAAACGGATGTAATGATAATGAAATGTTTTTCAATGATGATCATCATAAAATTTGCATATAAACAACATTCATTCAACAAAACAAACAAAATTTTTCATTTTTTGGGAATAAATAAATTATCACCAAACGAATGTTATGTTATCTTACAACCTCAATGTAATTGATCTTATCACCTTTGATTCCATAAAAAGAACAGAACAGATATTCTTACAAACTATTTTTGGATTGAAAACAAAAAACAACAGCTGCTGCTGCTGTGAAAAAGAAATTTCACCCGGTATTTTTTTCAAAAACTGTTGATCATCATAATCAATTACAACGAGCAATATATACGTGTGTGCAGTGAATATAATGAGTATAATCAATTAGAAAAACCTTAAACCAAAAACCAAACCAAAGTCTTTTGCTTGTTTTTTTTTTTTGGTTTATCTAAATTGAATTTGTTGAAATCAAATCAAATCAAAACAAACAAACAAAATGTCAAAACAAAACAAACAA